GAAATGAAGTATTGATTCATGCTACAACATGATGACCCTTGAAAACATTATGCTAAGCAAAAGAAGCCCATCACAAATGAACATATATTGTATGATTCCATTTATATGAAATGTCTAGAATTGGCAAACCTATACAGACAGAAAGTAGATTAGTGATTACCTAGCGCTGGGTGGGGAGACTGGGGGTGTGGGGAGATTGGGGGTGACTGGCTGAGGGCTGTGTGATATCTCCTTGGGCAAATGAGAATGTTCTATAATGGATCTAAGGTGGATGCTTGCACTATTTTATGATTATAGTTAAAGCCATTGAATTATACACTTTGAGTGAATTGCATGGTATGTGGGTTCTATCTCATAAAGCTGCTTAAAAAGGGAGAGAAAAGATATGCCCTCTGAAAGAAGAAATCATGATATAAGTCTATTAGTTAATGCCACAAAATTAACCAATAGAAGAATTAAAAATACTTATAGGGAGGAAAAATGAGGTCTCCATGAGTTAAATCCTTATCTATCAGAGAGAAGAATCTACAATGTATATTGCTGACACATCTAGAAGATAATTATTATTTAGGGATGCAAAGGCAAGTAAGAGAAGAAACAGCTGAAAATGTTAAAAGACTTCCAGTATGGAGCAGGATTTGAGGTGGAACAGACTGAATTCTTTTGATTATAATCCCTTGCTACTGGCATCTAGTGAGCAGAGTTCCTGGACGCTGCTGGATATCCTACAATGCACAGGACAGCGCCCTCCCCACGCCCCGCCCTGCGAACTATCCAGCCCAAATGTCAATGGTTCCGAGATTTAGAAACCTCAGCTTATTTTTATCAGCTTCATGCTGTTTTCGCCCTTTCAAAGTATTTGTTTTTCTGTTTGTTTATTTATAGTTCCCCCATTTAGGATATAAACACCCCCCTCCCCCCACCAAAGGACAGAGAAGCAGTGAAAATAGCACAGGTTCTGGAATCTGAAGGCTTGACTCTGATTTCCATTGTTATCGCTTCCTATGTGCAGGACGTGCTTACGTCTCTCAGCCTCGCATCTTTAAAATGGGGGCTAATAAGAGAACCTGGAAGACCTAGTCCGTGCAGGCAAATCACTTAAGAGTCTGTAACATTCAGCACTCAGTTTCTATCAATTACCATTATTGTCCCCAGCTGTATCCTTCTCTCTGGCAAAAGAACGGGGGGCTGAACAAATGTTTCTCAAATGAATGAATTCCAGGCCCCTTCCCTCGAGGCTGGCATTTCTTTGCTTCTAAACCAAGGGTGTCACAATGCTTCTCTAAACTCCTTTCCCCTGAAGAAATTCCAGTGGAAATCTGAGATGCTCCTTCAGGGGAGGTGATTGAATGTGTGGGGAACTCAGGTTTTTTCTGTCTTCTGTCAGAAGGGAGGAGCTGACACAGGAATGGTTAAGTGGCTCTGAAGTTCACCTATTGCTGACTGTTCCTGGCAACTCCCCACAAAGAGGCTGCTTCATCTCCAGTGCTGACTTTGTATTTCCCGGGTGATTGTGGGCAAATCACTGCCCATCTCCAAGCCTCAGTTTGTTCACCTATAATATGGGAATATCAGTGCCCACATTACAAGGATTCTGTAAGAATTCCGTGAGACAGTATGCAGACTCCCTAGCCCAAGTCTGTGGTTATGGCTAGCTTAATTTTTGATCATGTTCCCGTGAAGACACAGTCTTGAAATAACTGCTTGTCTAGAGCAGCATGCAAAGACCTTTTCTCACCAATGTTCCCGTTTAATTGCAGGCAGTTTTTGCACCCATTATAACTGAGTCTAGAAGAGAGGAAATGTTTTGCCCAAGGTCACACAGTGGCTACAGGCATCTCTGAGATTTGAACCCAAGACCAAACTTTCTGACTCTCATCTGAGATTTTCTCCCTGGAGTTGTCCCACCTTCTACCCACTGGCTAGTTCTAGAACTTGCAAATCCAGTCTTCTCAAAACTGTTGCATAGCCCTCCGACCCAACCCCAGACAGACTTCTTTAAAACTTATTTCCACTCAAGCTTTGCGCATCCTACTTTTCTCCTCACTCCCATCCCCATCTTGGGGGAATCTAACTCTTTGAGCTAGGGGTGGGTAGCTCGTAAGAAGAAAAAAAAATTCTTGGTGAGACGCAAAAGGCTTTCTATCCTTGTAAGTTTAGTATAATTTTATTTTCAGTGGCTCTTTGCCCTTGCCACTTGGTGGGGGGGAATGGTGGGAAGACTCGGGGAGGTGGAGCTTTCCCTTGGATTTTGGGAAAGGGGAGAGCTCCTGGGGTCCATTTTAAAAGGCCCTCCCCTCATTTCCGGCCGCTGCTGCCAGCCTTGGCTGGGCGCCTGGATCCTGTTGCTATGACGACAGGAAGAGGCGGTGGCGGCGGCAAGCGATGCTGTGGAGAGATGGAGGCTAGTGGGGGTGGGGGGGTGGCTTTGAAATGGGGGGGGGGGGAGGGGGCAGGGGCTGGGGAGGGGGGGGGGGGAGGAGGCAGGGGTATCCTTTATCTCCGACCTCCTTCATTCATCTGAGACTGGCCCCTCTCCTATTTTTCTCCGGCCTCCTTTTGATGCTTCCCCAGTTTCTACCTCTGTCTCGTTCCCTGGGTCTCTCTCTCTCCCAGTCTCAGTCTCTCCCCATCTTTCTCTCTCTTTGGGTCCCTCTCTTTCCTTCTGCATCTGCCTTTCTGTCTCCGGCACCTTCTGCCACTCAGACCCCTCTCCCCTAAATTTTTTAAAATTTCTCTCTCTTCTCTCTCTCTCTCTCTCATTCTTCTCTCTGTTAAGACCTTTGCCCCATCCCCAATTTCTCTCCCCACTTTTTCTTTCTTTCTCTCCCTCTCTCTCTCTCCCATCCTCGCAGTCTCTCTCTGTCTTTCTCTCCCCATCTGTCTCTCCTCCCCCTCTCTGGATGACTCTCTCTCTGTCCCTTCTTTCCTTCTGTTACCCAGATCCTGACCCCCATCCTCTCCCTCGCCCCAATCTTTCCCCATCCCCCATTTCTTCCCCAGTCTCTGCGTTTCTCTGTTTGCATCTCTGCCTCTGTCCCCTTCTGTCTCTGGATATTTCTCTGTGTGTGTGTGTGTCTCCCTCTCCAACTTCCTTCTGCTACCAGCCGCTGCCTCCCCCAAATTTCTCCCTCCCCCATTTCTGTTTCCCCGACTCTGGGTCTCTCTCTTTCCGCTTCTCCTGGCTCTGTCTCTCTCCCTCCCTCTCTGGGTCTCTCTCTTTTTCCCCAGCTTCTTTCTGCCACCCAGACCCTGCCCCCCATCACTTCCCTCCCCCCAATCCATCTCCTCTCCGTGGCTCCCCCATCCTCAGCGGCTCCCCTCCCCCTCCCTCCCTCCTCCTTCCCTCTCTCGTCCTCCCGCTCCGCACTTTACCCAGCGACACGGGAACCAAATTGTCTCCTCACCTTCTTTTCCCCCATCCCGACCCCCTCTCCCTCGGGGCCCGAGCTCAGAGCTGCCCCTCAGCCTCCCCTCCCACCTCAACACCCATTCCCCGGACGCCTCTTCATCTCCACCCCCCCAACCAGGTCGGACGCCTGGGTCCCTCGCTGCTGGGGGAGGGGGAGCAGTGAGAATTGGGAGCCACAAGGGTTTTCCTGGGGGGGGTTGCCGACGGGGGCTCAACGTCCCCTCCCCCGTGCATCGGAGAGTTGACCTATCGTTAACAGAGGTGAGAGAGATCTTTTTATTAATCGGAGGTGGGTGGATGTAAAATGAAGGCTCTGTGACCCCCCTAATTCTGGAGGAAGGAGCTGGTCCCCTTCAGAGGGAGAGGGGATGATGACCCCTCTCACATCCCGGAGCTTTCGAATTGGGGGTGTCCCCTGCTCCCTCCTTTGCTGCCGCTGACAGATGGACTAAAGGAAGAACCCCTAAAACCAAGCAGAGTGCCCCCCAAATCGACAAAATGAAAAGAGCTTCGAATCTTTATATGATGAAGAATTTCCATCCTTCGCCTCCCCTCTCCATCCCCTCCTTATCCCGGGTCCTAGGGGGCCCAGCAGGGGAATGGGTACATCCTGTGGTCACAGGCTCACCCTCCCACCCCCCTTGGAGGCAGAAATCTGCTAGGACAGTGGAGGTGGTGGTGCTGGTGGTGAGGGGGCACAGAAGCGGGGAGAAGAGGCCGAGAGATGGAGAGGAGAGGAAACTCAGCGTCTTTCTGGAGAGGAAAGACAGGAAGCGGCCAGAAGTGAGGCCAGGGAGGCCACAGGGATGTCAGTGTCCAGGGCACTGTTGAATGGGGCCAGGGCAGGGGCCGTGCGTGGGCAGGCAGGAGTGGAGGTGAGGAGAGAACACACGTGTGGGGCACTAGGCCCAGTTGCCATGGAGACACCCCCCCCCATAGACAACCTTTCCAACACCCCTCCTTGGAGCAGACCCAGTGAGGGCCAGCTGATGGGGGCGGAAGAGGCCAAGGTCACCCTGGTACTGGGACCCAGAATCAGGTTTGTTTGTTTGTTTGTTTCCTCCTCTAAGGCTTCCAGGCTCTTAACTAGAATAGGGGGTTTGGGGGAAGAAGTCTAGGATAGATAGAGTGGTGGAAGCTGGTAAGGGATGCATGCCTGGAAGGAGGGTTGGGGTAAGGTGGAAAAGGCAGGGCAGGGGGCGTGGTGATGGGGTGCTGTGGGAGAGGAAAATGAATGGACCCTTGGTGCCTGCAGAGTGGGAAATTATTCCCAACTGAAAGAGAGTTGTGGTCTTGTGGATCAAATTTTTCTAAGAGGCACTGTCTATGGAGGGGATCTTTTGAAATTTGGAAGAAAACTGAGTGTATGGTGTATGTTCCTGCACAGGTGAAATAGAAGGGGGAGTTCTGGGGGTGTTCCCAAGAAGGGAAGTCTGAGGGAGACATGAAGGGGATTCTCCTGAGCACAAGCGATGCTGGGAGCTAGAGTAGGTGGAGGAGGGTGGCAAGAGTGAAGGGGATTCTTTGTGATGTCAGAGAAGTCAGGGTGTGTGGGGGGGAGGTTCTTATAAGTTCAAGAGACAGCGGGATGTCGAAGTGAGCTGGGGAGATCTGGAATTGGGGGGTTCATCCCCATAACAAGGGCTACGGAGAGGAGATTTGGAGGTCGTGGGAGATGGTGGAAGGGCAGAGGAAGGGGGTGGGGGATGCTGGGTAGAGTGGGGGAATTTCCTTCCACAACAGTGAATATGCAGGTCAGAGCTTGGGAGATTTCTGAATGGAGAGGAACTTGGGGTCTAGAGAAAGGGATTCCTGTGAGTAGAAAATGCCCTGCAACTCACGGAAGAAATTTTTCTTAATGGAGGAGAAAGTGATGGCTATGATGAGTTTGTCTAAGTTGTAGAGATACTGAGGACCAGATTTGGAAGACTCCTATAAGCAAACGAAAGAGTGGAGTATTTTCCTTGAGTCAAAGACATAGTAGGGGATGGGAGAGTGGTCCAAGGAAGACAAGTGGGGCGGTTAGAGGGAATGTGATGGAGATGGGGGGCATTCTTCTAATCCAGGGGGTCCAGCGGCGTTGGATTCTTTAAAAGAATCCCCCGGGGAAGTTTTAAAAACCTAGATGCTCAGGGCCACACCCCAGACCAATGAAATCGGAATTTCTCAAGTATCAGTATCCTCTGGTGGTTTCAAGGTACAACCAAGGTTGAGAACCCTGGTCCAGAGACGTAGGGTTCTGAGTGGGGTAGGGGTTCCCATGCAGAGGAGACTGTGGAGGTGGGGTGGTAGTGATGACAACTGTGTGGTTTTCTGAGTTGTGCAAACTGTGGGGATGAGTTTGGAAGATCTGAGTGTTGTTGTGTTTGTTGTTTTTGTTTTTTCAGCTGAGGAGAGATTGAGAGATTTATTTTTCCTAAGTAGGGGCCATAGTAGGTGAAGTGGTGGGCCTTGCAGGGGAAGGTAGGGAGTGGGTAGAGCTTTATGAGAACATTTTATAAGAAATGAGGAACAGGACAGGGGTTCCTGGGGAGGAAGAGGCACTGGGGGCTGGAGTGAGGGACGCTTTCCCTGTGGGGAGGACGGTGAGACCAGGGGGGCGGAGCTGGAGGGGCCTGGAGGCGTGTCCTACGGCACTCAGGACATAGGTGGGGTATGTCTCAGAGTGGGATTAGTGGGAAGAATTTCTTGGACGCAGGGAGATTGTTTTTCAGAGAAGTGCCAGTGGCAAGCAGAGTGGAAGGAGTTTCTTCAACCGAGGAAAGAGTGGGGTTTCTTTGGGGGGCTGGGGTGCAGGTAAAGGGGTGTCCAGGGAGGTGAGCCCTCCTGTCTAATCCTTTATCTCGCTCCCTGCCCTCCACCAGCTGCCGACCATGGCTGCCTTCTGACCCCGTCCCCGGCCTCAGCCTCCTCCTCGCCGCCCCCTCCCCAGCCCCTGGCCCCGGGCCCCCCACTTCTGCCTGCGCTGTGACCCCCCCAGCCGCCGGCACGGCCCCGCCCCCGCTGCCCCGGTGGTGGCCCACGGCCCCCCGGCTGCCCGTGGTCAAACTGGAGTCGCTGAAGCGCTGGAACGAAGAGAGGGGCCTCTGGTGCGAGAAGGGGGTGCAGGTGTTGCTCACCACGGTGGGCGCCTTCGCAGCCTTCGGCCTCATGACCATTGCCATCAGCACGGACTACTGGCTCTACACGCGCGCCTTCATCTGCAACACCACCAACCTCACGGCTGGCGACGACGGGCCCCACCACCGCGGGGGCAGTGGCTCCTCGGAGAAGAAGGACCCCGGCGGACTCACCCACTCGGGCCTCTGGAGGATCTGCTGCCTGGAAGGTAGGGTGGAGGGGGCCCCAGCCTTGCGCCCCTCCATTTGCGGCCCGGCCCCTCGTCCCGTCCGCGGCCGGCTGGGCTTCCTCCCTGGGAAATCTCCCAGTTTCCTGTGGTCCCCACTGCGGCCTCCCGTCTCCTCCTGGGGCTCCTTGCCACGCCTGCCCACACACCTTCCCCCGTCCTTCTCACTCTTCTCTGCGTCCTGACCCTCTTCTGAATCCCGCCCCCCTCGCCTCGACCCTCCCCATCCACGCCTCTCCGTCACTCGGCACGTCCTGCGCCCCCTCCGCTCGGGACCCGCCTAATCTTATCTTTCCTTCATTCGTGGGGAAAGCCCCCTCTCCTCCCTCCCTCTCACCCCTGTGGGTGCCTGGCCTCCCTGCGTGAGGGGCTCCCTCTGCCTCGATTCCAGCACTGGCACGCTCTGCTTTGCCTCCCCGCTTCCCCGCTCACCCTTGAGCTGGGCCCCCCTCCTCCTTTTGCCCTTTGCATCTTCTCTCCCCCACGTCCTACCTCTGCCCTCTGAGCGCCCCTACCTCTTATGGACCCAGTCACAGCGTCTTCCCCATCTCCTCCGTCCCTTTGGCCTCACTTTGGCTGTTTCTCTCCTAAAACATCCTGCCCTAACTGCCCGTAACTCACGGCCCTCTCCTCTTTCCTCTCTGTGGCTTGTCCTCCGGCGGATCTTGTCTGCCCGCCTCTCCCTCCCCATCAGGCCTCCCAGCCTCCCCTGCGGGTCCTTGTCCTCCTTGGTCTTTAGAAGCTTCTGCCTCATCTTCCCTCCATTCATCCTCCCTTTGACGTCCTCCTTCCAGACCCTGTTTCTTGACGATGAGGCCACCGCCTCTTCTAATCTCCATCTTTGCTCTTTGCTTGGTCCTACTCTCCTTGCAGGCTCCCTCCCAGCTGGCTCCCTTGGCCTCCCATCTCCCCACGCCAGGCCTCTTCCTCTTAGCAACTCCTCTATTTGTTTTGCTCTCAGCTTTGCTATTTCTTTCCACATAGCGTGGAAGTGATGGGCTGGGAAGCAGGACACCTGGGTTCCAGTCCTCCTGTGCATCTATCCCCCTGTGTGCTCACTATCTTGTCACCTCCCTAAGCCTCAGGGCCCTGGTCTGCAACATGAAGGAGTGGGACCAGCCAATCCCCAATTTCCCCCTCCAGGGCCAAAAAGATCAAAATCCCTTCACTTCTCTTTTTATCCCTCTCTTTTCCCCATCTTTTCCTCCTCCGTTTTGCTGGGCACTCTTTTTTTTTTTTTTTTTTTTTTTAATTTTTGGCTGCGTTGGGTCTTCACTGCTGCGCGTGGGGCTTTCTCTAGTTGCGGCGAGCGGGGGCTACTCTTGGTTGTGGTGCGCGGGCTTCTCATTGAGGTGGCTTCTCTTGTTGCGGAGCACAGGCTCTAGGCGCGCGGGCTTCAGTAGTTGTGGCACGAGGACTCAGTAATTGTGGCTCACGGGCTCTAGAGCGCAGGCTCAATAGTTGTGGCAAAGGGACTTAGTTGCTCAGCGGCATGTGGGAATCCTCCCGGACCAGGGCTCGAACCCGCATCCCCTGCATTGGCAGGTGGACCCTTAACCGCTGCACCACCAGGGAAGTCCCTTGCTGGGTACTCTTGATGAGCAAGGAATGTTATTATCTCATTTAATCCTATGGGAGGGGGGCGGCAGGGCACCACCCTCCTGTTGAGGATGAGGAAACTGAGGCTCAGAGATGTTAAGCTACTTGCCCAAGGTAACCCAGCTGTGACTGGGGAAGAGCCAAGAGAACTCAGGTCTGATGGATGGGATTTGCAGATATGCTTTGTCTGGTGTGTGGAGTGCTTAAAACTGAAACCAAAATCTGAATCGGTTGCCAACATTTAAAAATAGGGAGATTGCACATTGAAAATCCGATTTCCAGCTTCTTTTGAACTAGTGGAAGATCTGACAACACGGGGCCAGTATCCTGCAGTGGCCACGGTTGGCTGGATCCGAGTAGCAGCTGCTTCCTCAGATCAGGCATGAGGGTCTCCCTTTCTCCCGTCACCTCTGGTCCCTATTGCCTCACACCCATCCAATTTTCTCATTATGTTATAATTTGACACCCAGTTTCTCATTATACACTGATGGACAGTGTACAGCAAGTAGCAGTCATTCCATGTATTCATCCCCTCCTCAACAACCGCTATTTATTGAGTTTATACTGTGTGCCAGACGCTGTTCATGATTCTGGAGCTATAGACGTGGAAGGAGAAAAAAACCAACAGCAAAGAAACCTGTTTTTTTTTTTTTTTAACTTTTTATTTTATATTGGAGTATAGCCAATTAACAATGTTGTGATAGTTTCAGATGCACAGCAAAGCAACTCAGCCATACATATACATGTATCCATTCTCCCCCAGACTCCCCTCCATCCAGGCTGCCACACAACATTGAGCAGAGTTCTCTGTGCTCTACAGTAGGTCCTTGTTGGTTACCCTTTTTTTTTTTTTTTTTTTTTTTTTTGAGGTACGCGGGTCTCTCACTGTTGCGGCCTCTCCCGTTGCGGGGCACAGGCTCCGGACGCGCAGGCTCAGCGGCCATGGCTCACGGGCCCAGCCGCTCTGCGGCATGTGGGATCTTCCTGGACTGGGGCACGAAACTGAGTCCCCTGCATCGGCAGGCGGACTCTCAACCACTGCGCCACCAGGGAAGCCCTTGGTTACCCATTTTAAATATAGCAGTGTGTACATGAAAGACTGCTGTTTTTATATGTCTTATATTCTAGCAGGAGAGACAGATAATAAGGGAGATAAGTAAATACAACACCTAGGGTGTTAGAGCTGAGTGCAAAGGAGGAAAAAGAGCAAGGGAGGGGATGGGAAGTGTTAGGGGCAAGGGTGTGAAACTGCAGAAATTGGAGATAAAGGGGACTGAGCAGGTGACATCCGAGGCGTAGGCTAAATGAGCCCAGAGATGGAGCCATGTGGCTTCTGGAGGGAAACGCTTCAGGCTGTAGAAACATTGCTCAGGCTCTGCAGTGGGAATGTGCCTTGTGTCTGACCATCATGGGAGGCCCGCGTGGCCCGGGCAGAGGTGGTGAGGAGGGACATGGTAGGAGGTGCAGTCAAGGCGATACCACGAGCTTCCAGGTCCTGGAATGTAATTTGCTTTCCACATCGGAGGGGGGGAGTGACAGGAGCTGGCTTGAAGGTTAAGGGCATCGCTCTTGCTGCTGTGTTGGGTATTTAGGAGGAAAGGAAAAGGGAGAATGGGAGGTGGCTTATCGGGGTGGGAGCCGTAGAGTTTGGGTTTCGACTGTGAGTATGTTCTGCCGCTACAGCGGGCAGGAATTGCTGGTGGGGCAGTTGTAGGATATGAGAGAGAAGTGTCGGGGCGTCTCAAAAGCGGGGTTTCCCAACCTCAGCGCTGTTGACATTTGGGGGTGGATAATTCCGTGTTGCGGCTGTGGGCTGGGGTTGGGGGGTGCGTCCTGCGTGTTGTAGGATGTGTGGCAGCATCCCTGGGCTCTACCTTTTAAACACCAGCAGCATCCACCGGTGTGGACACCAAAATTGTCAACTGTCTCCAGACTAGGAATAAAATCGCCCCTCATTGAGAGTCACTGCTCTAAGGCTGTGGCCTGAGCACCGGAGAATGTGGTCGGGTAGGGGTGGGGGAGGTTCATCTGCTGGAACAGCTGGTATTTTATTGTATTTGTTTTATTTTCTCTTACCCAATTTATTATAAGGAGGGCTATCATGAGCTCAGTTTTGGACATGTTAAATTGAGGTGCCTTTACCCAAAAAAATTACAAAAATAAATTGAGGGTGCCTATTTGAGATACTGTGTAGGACAGGAGTCAGTATAGGAAAGGACTCACAAAGTGCCGTACAGTCAGTTTCTTAGGCTTTGTGGGGCGTGTGATCTCTGTTGCTGCTACTCCTTAAAATAGCCAGAGATGATGCGTGAGTGGATGAGTGTGGCTGGGTTCCAATTAAACTTCCTTTACAGGCACTGACATTTGAATTTTATATCATTTTCACGTACCACGAGATAGTCTTCTCTGACAGCTTTTCAATCATTAAAAAAAAAAAAAATGTAAAACCCATTCTTTGCTGGATTTGGCAGGCTGGGTTCAGCCTGTGGGTCATAGTTTGCTGACCCCCTGATCTAGGATGTTAGCGATATGATATATGAGGTCAGAGTTCAGGGGAGAGTCTGGGCTGGTGGGCGGGTCATGGCATGTGGATGGATGAGCAGAGACAGAAACAAACCAAAAAATTAGTTGAAGGGCTGAAGCCTGAGCTAGTCCAGTATTCAAAGACAATCAGAAAGATGAGAAGAGCCAGCAAAGGGAGCTGAGAAAGGACTGACCACAGAGGTTTGGGGAAAATGAGGTAACTGGGTCCTGGGAGCCAAAGGAATTGTGTTAAGCAGGGGGTAAATGAAGGTAGACTTTATTGTTATTATAGTCATCACTCATGCGTCATTGGATGCTCACAATAATTCTGTGCGCTATGTACTACTATCACCCCCATCTCCTAGAAATGAATGCTTAAGGCTCAGAGAAGGAAAGCACCTTTCCCAAGGTCACACAGCTAATATGCAGTAGACTCTGGATCTGAATCCAGGTCTCTTTGGTTTCCCAGGAGTCAAAGCAATATAACCACTAGCCTCCATCCTATCGGGGATCCAGGGGTGTAGAAACTGCCCCCCCCCCGGGCCATTGCCCCCTGAAGACACTCTGTCCCCAGGAATTCTTAGGTCCCATCCTCCCTTGTCCCTCCGTCTTTCTGAGAAGTGCAGTAGAAAGTCGTGATTGGGACATAGACTCGAGAACAAGACTTATTGGGTTACTTCCTGTCTGCTGTGCACAGGAAGGTGACATTGAGCCATATATTCTACTTCTCTGTGCTTTATTTCCGTCATCGGTGAAATGGGGATTATAATGGCCCCTAACCCACAGGGCTGTGGAGCGAATTCAATGAGTTATTACATGTAAAGCATTCAAAAGGCCAGCAGGCACAGGGTAAAGGCTAGACGATGTCGTTTATATTCTGTTCTTCTTCTTCTCAGTATTATGAATTCAGATGACCAACCCCTGAGTGTCCCCTCCTTGATAACCCAGAAGTCCCCGCCTCCCAACCAGCACTGCCCAAGAGAAACATCACACAAGCTGTCTACATAACTTAAATGTTTCTAGCAGTGGCATTAAAACAAGTACAAAGGGGAAGGTTCAATGAATCTAATTTAATAAATACAATTCATACAATATAATACATTAATATAAACGTTAGTAATACATTTTATCTAACCAAGCGTAGCCAAACCATTATTTTAACATGTTAGCAACATAACGATTATTAATGGAATAGTATGCATTTTTCTTCATACCAAATCTGAAATCTGGTGCCCATTTTACACTCACACTCCATCTCAGTTGCCACATTTCAAGTGCCCCAGAACCAACCCCAGGGCTGGGGGATCCGTATGGGTCTAGCTCCCTTCTCAGGAATTTCAGCCTCCAGAATCTAGACCCACAGCCCGATTTATTCGAGCGGACTGTACAGAGCCCCTGTTCTCAGCACTTTGCGTGCCTTATCTCATTGAACCCTCCCAGTTGCTCCAGGGGGAAGGTATTATTATCACCCGAGTTTGTCAGAGCAGGAAGCTGAAGGCCAGAAAGGGGAAGTGAGTCAGCCACATGGCCACCCAGGTACGAGGGGCAGAGCCGTGGTCCTCGCCACAGTACACACCCCTACGCACCGCCCCCCATCCCGCTTCCCCACTCCCCCCCACCGCTGCCTGCCCGGGTCTGTGTTAGGCGGGCCCTGGGGAGACTCAGAGACGCATCACCACCATGCCTGCGCCTAAGGAGCTCCCAGCCCAGCTGGTCGGATAACACGCAGAGGCGTGCCGCATAACCCCCGTGCGGTCCGCGCTTGACTCTGTCATTCGTGGGTCACTGAGTGCTCGCAAACCGTATGTGGTCATTATCACCATCCGCATTCTCCAAACGAGGAAGCCGAGGCTCAGGGGTGTCCAAGTCCCCAAAGCCACCCAGCTGGGAAGTGGCAGCCCTGGCATGTGAGTCCAGAGAATGTGATTCCAAAGCCCGTGCTCGTGGCTAACATAACCACTACACTCTACTGCCACAAATATGCTCACCTCTGGGACCTCTCTGGCGGTCCAGTGGTTAGAACTCTGCGCTTCCACTGCACAGGGCTTGATCCCTGGTTGGGGAACTAAGACCCCCGCAAGCCGCATGGCTTGGCCAGGAAAAAAAGAAAAAGAAAAGAAAATGCTCACCTTAAAAAAAAAAAAAAAGCTCACCTTTGAGGCCCAGAGTCTCCTCCCCATGACTTACCATCTATAGAACTGAGCAATTTCTTCAACTCTATGCCTCAGTTTCCTCACCTGTAAAGCAGGGATACTATCACTGCCTGGTATTTCTAAGGGCTGGTCATGCATACCGTGTTAGTACCTACCTGTCAAATGCTTGGAGCCGTGCCTACTGTGTGGTTAGCCCTCAGTACGTACTAGTTATCATTACTGCCAGCATGACTAGTCTGTGGAGAGTCTGCACGCCGTGTACTCTCCGTGCTCAATCTCATTGAGTTATCATTCATGTTTTGAGAGAAGTACTATAATCCCACTCAAGAAAGGAGAGAACTTGACCCCCCGCCCCACCACACCATACTGGATGTGGTGATGGGTAAACATCTGCACTCAAAAGGTGTATCTTCATTCATTCATTCAGTGGCTTTTTTTTTTTTTTTAAGTAAAATGCACAGAATGTGAAATGTACCATCTTAACCATTTTTAAAAGCACAGTTCAGTAATGTTAAGTAGATTCACATTGGGTACCCAAGCTCCAAAACTTTTCATCTTTCAAAACTGAAACTCTGTACCTATTCTTCCCTGCTCCCAGCCCCTGGCAACCATCATTCTACTTTCTGTCTCTGTGAATTTGATGACTCTAGATATCGCACATGAGTGGAATCATACAGTATTTGTATTTTTGTGACTGACTTATTTCACTTGCAGAATATCTTCAAGGTTCATCCAGGTTGTAGCATGTGTCAGAATTCCCTTACTTTTAAAGGCTGAACAACATTCCATTCTACGTATATGCCACACTTTATCCGTTCATCCATTGATGGACACTTAGGTTGCTTTTGGCTGTTGTGAATAATGCTGCCACGAAAATGGATGTACAAATATTTCTTAGAGACCTTGCTTTCAGTTCTTTTGAGTATATACCCAGAAGGGACTTGCTGGATCATATAGTAATTTTAACTTTTTGAGGAACCTCCATACTATTTTCCATAGCGACTGCACCATTTTATATTCCCACCAACAGTGCACATGGGTTCCAATTTCCCCACATCCTCACCAACACTTATTTTCTGTTTTATTTTGTTTGCTTGTTTATAGTAGCCATCCTAATGGGATGGTATCTCATATCTATGAGAGGGTATTTCACTGTTGTTTTGATTTGCATTTCCCTAACGATTAGTGATATGGAGGATCTTTTCATGTGCTTGTTGCCCATTCAATCATTCGTACATAAAAATATTTATTAAGCACTTACTATGTGTTAGGCATTGCTCTAGATGTTGAAGAGTGGTGAACAGCCTATAAGCTTACATTCCAGTGGGGGCAAACCGCTGTGTGTTTGAATTCTGCTTCCACCACCCATCAGCTGTGAATTGATGAACCCTTGTTATGCCTCTGCTTCCTCATCTGGACAATGGGTATACGGCGTGGTATCAGCTGAACACCTAATTGTGTTCCAGGCAAAGTGCTAAATCTCTATACCTGGATTCAACCCTCACAACAACCCAGTGAGGTAGGTCCTAGTAGCCCCTTGTTATAGGAAAAGGGATCGAAGTAAATTGGCCCAAGTAAGGCCAACAAGGTCACAGAATAAGGACATGATGGATTCAGGCTTCATTATCAAGCAGTGCGACTCCAATTCTCAATGTTTGGTCACCGCACGACACCAATAACATTATCTATTTCGTGGATCTCCTGTGAGCTGTGGATGAGTTAATCCACCTAGGAAGCACTTAACAAATGGTAGCTCTTAGTGGAATTACTCACTGCCTTATAGTCCTTCTTTCCAGTCTTTTCCTTTACCCCCATTTCTTTCCGTGTCATCTTTTGCCTCGAATCTCCCCTTCTGTCATCCTTATATTCATTCATAACTTAATTCTTTCAACACTCATTTCTTGAGGCCTCCTTTGTGCCAGGCAATGCTAGGGACACACGGAGGAATCAGACCCCATGCCCTCCCCCTGCAGGAACTCCTAGCGTGCTGAAGAAGATCATAAATCAAACCAATGCATGCTAAGAAGGTGGTGGTGCAGGGAGCTGCTACACCCCAGAATGGGTGGGAGGGGTGTGTGTGTGTGTGTGTGTGTGTGTGTGTGTGTGTGTGTGTGAGCGAAAGCTTCCTCAAGCTGGTGTCCCGTGCACTGCTCGCTTGCAAGGTAAGTTTTTCGCCAGTGAAGAATGTAAGCAGAATGTTCTGCAGCATTGGGCAGTGGCCGGGAGGTTGGAAGGAGCCTGGAGAATTGAGGAAACAAAATGTATTTAAATTTATACTTATTTATACATCGGTCTGCAGCTGTGTAAGGAAGTGGGTTCTTAGGGGGAGGAAGGGGCTGAGACTGCAGGACCACTGGAGGCATATTGCACCCCTAGCGTGCCTCTGCTAGCTCCGACCTCTGCATCTCCTCCCAGAGGACCCCAGGTGCAGTGCGCAGAGAGCCGGGGAATCCCTCTCCCATATGGAGGATTGAAGAGACTACAACCCCGGTGATCCACTGGGGCTTCTCTCTCCTCACAATTGGACTCGAAGACTTCATAGGGCCTCATGGGAAATGTAGTCCTCCTGGCCCCCTGCCGCCTCTTCGTTTTCCCACGCATTTTCAACCGATTTTGAGTTGAAGAGTGACGACATGGCTGAAAGCAACGCCTTCTTTCTTACAGAGGTGGAAACAGAGGCCAGAGAGACTGTCCCCGTACAGGTTACAGGGCAAAAGTTCTTGTGGCCTTTTAGTGAGTGTTGGATGATTTCCTCCCTCCCTCCCTTCCTTTCTTTACTTTTTTTCTTTTTTTTAACTGGTAGGGAAACCGGGGCCGGGAGGTTGAAAGTTTGTCCCAGGTGCACAGACAGGATCAGGAGCCATTACTTCCTGTCTCCCAATCAGAAGGGGTTTGAGGAGGGTCTTTTCTTACCCGGGGTTTCCGCACTCTTAAGTGCCCACGACTATCACCTCCATTCCCCTCCAGGGTTGAAAAGAGGCGTCTGCGTGAAGATCAACCATTTCCCGGAGGACACGGACTACGACCATGACAGCGCGGAGTATCTGCTCCGTACGTGGGGGTCGGGGACAGAGTGGGGGGACTACCGGGCTTGGGCAAGTGCGAGGGGAGAGGGGGCTGTGCTTCGGCACTTAGAACCACACGCAGAGATGAACTTGTCAGCCAATCCAAGCCCAGATACTGAGATCCTCTGGTCACCGATTGGCTCAGTGGTCTCTCCCGCCCCCTCCTCTCACCTTGGGGCGGGCTGAGAAGGGATCCCGGGAGCTGATTGGCCGTCGTGATGGCCTGGGTACTCGAGGCAACTCAGTGCAGTGACTCTCTGGGTTGGGATTGGTCGCTGCGCCCTGGGGCCGTGAGGCAACCTGAGGCGCGGACGGCGCGGACGGGCCATTCTAGGGAGCTGGCTGGGGAAGCCTGTGGTGAGATTGGTTAGCTACCCCAAGAACGCGGCAAATCCAGAGTTATGATTGGCTGCGGCCTCAACCGGGCTCAGAAATCGCAGAATCTGGTTGCCTAGGGTTTGGGAGACGGTGGAAAGGACTGCAGAGAGAGGGGGAGAGAGAGAGAAGGGAGAAAGTAAGAGAAGAGAAACCCAGAGCTACAGATGAAGCCAGGCAGGAAGGGGTGGGGGGAGGGACAGAGAGGAGGAAGGGAAGAAGAGAGCGGGAGAGGGAGAGAGGGAGGGGGCAGGGGAAGAGAGAAGAGAAACCCAGAGAGATAGGTGAAGCCTGGCAGAAGGGGGGATGGGGGGGGAGGGAGAGAGGTATTTAGAGATTTGATTCAGAAAGATCTGGAAAAAATGCGCAGGAGAGGAAGGGAAAGAGCGTGCGAGAAGGAAAAAGAGAGAGGGAGAGGGTCCACAGAGAAATAGAGAAGTTCCGAGGGGAAAAAAAAGAGAGAGGGAGAGTGATTAGAGAAATAAAAGGGAAGAAAAATATGCCAGGAGAGAGAAAAATAGAGGAAGAAAGAAAAAGACACAGAAAAAGAGAGAGGCAATCAGATCGAGAAAGAGAGAAATTTTAAAGAGGAGAGAAAGTGAGACAATAACAGAAAATAACCAGGCAGAGAAGGAGAATTGGAGAGCCAGCGAGAGAGAAGCGGAGACGGAGGCAGCAGGAGGCGCGGGGCGCCAGGGGGCCAGGCGGCCGTGTCTGACGCCCTGGTTCCCACCCCCCATCTCTCCCCATACTCTCCTTTCTCCAGGAGTCGTCCGGGCCTCCAGCATTTTCCCCATCCTCAGCGCCATCCTGCTGCTGCTCGGGGGCGTGTGCGTGGCGGCCTCCCGGGTCTACAAGTCCAAGAGGAACATCATTCTGGGAGCAGGGATCCTGTTCGTGGCAGCAGGTGAGAGGCAGAGGGAGGGGGCGGCCCACCTGCGAGCGCGCACGTGTGTGTGTGAGCGCGCGCGCGCCTGCAAAGCTACCCTGCCCGGGCGCTCCCTGGGGCCCGGAGCCTTCCTAGGCTCTTCCCAAGCTCCATCGCCACCCGCTGGGCGAGGTAGGTGTCGCCTTCCGGTAGTCTTCTGGGCGAGTGAACCCAGCACAGACAGGTGTCTGTCTACCGCGTAATCCGGGATGCCAGGAGTTTAGATTCCAAAGCTTGCGGTCCAGGAGACGGAAGGGGAGGAGTTTGGGAGAGGGGGTGGGCCCTTGAGGCTGAATTGCGGTCTTGAAGACGGAGAAGACCGACCTGAGAGGGAGAAAGTGATTTGGATTCAGATGGGGAGGAGCCTGCTCTAGGGGGCGGGGTCTCGTGGGCTCCGGTGTACCCAAAAAGGGTCTGGTCCTGCGAAAGCATCCAGACCAACTCGGTAGTGAGGGAGGGCATTAAGGGGCAAGACCCCCTTTCTACTCGAAGTGAGTAGTATTGGGAAATTCGAGGAGTCAGCCTTTCTAAAGGGATGGAATCCAGAGGAGAAGGGGGAGGATTTAGCATAAACAGCAGGGGATGCTTTGGAGTTGGATCAAGATCTGCAGGGGGTGGGGCTTGGAGGATTTGAAAGACCGGGCTAACTACACCTGGGACGGGGGAGGAGCCTGACCGCGATCCTCAGGGGGCAGGGTTTAGCAAGCTGGAGGCGGGGCTTAGAGTAGATGGGAGACCTGCTTTAGTAAGAGTAGTGCGGGGGAGACCTGGAATAGAGGATAATCATGAAAGGGTTCAGATCAGCCAGAGTTAGGGCCTAGAGAGTCAGAGCGGGATTACCTCATTAACTAAACGAGCGGAGGGTGAGGCCTAGGGAACACCAAGATTTATAAAGTTAAGAGTGGAGTTAGACCAATCAGGGTAGGGCCAGGAAACCCCAGCCAGGGTCATCTTATCAAGGGCAGAGTTTAGGCCAGCGAGGAAAGGGCCTGAGCCATCTGGGGAGGAGTTTAGACCATCTGGGGCAGGGCTTGGGCCATCCCGGAGGGATCTGGACCATTAAGGGTGATCCTAAACCTTCTGGGGTGGGCCCTGGACGAACTGGGGCGGAGTTTAGACCGACCAGGGTGGGCTTTCGACCAACAGAGTAGGACCTGAATTAGCTGGGGATGGTGGACCATCCGAAGCAGGATTTGGGGCCCTTCGGGGCGGGGCCTGGGCCACCTGGGAAGAAATTTAGACCATCTGGGAAGGGGCTTGGACCATCTGACGGTGGAGCTTATGCCAACATGGGGCGGGGCCTGGGCTGGCCAGTGGGCGGGGCGGTCTGGACCATCTGGGGCGGGGCCTAGACCATCAGGGGTGGAGCTCAGAGCGGGGCTGGGCCTGGGCCGGCGGGGACAGGCCGGGGGCGGGGGCGGGGCCAGGGGTGGCCTCGAGGCTCCCGTCTGACCGTCCCCGCCCAGGCCTGAGCAACATCATCGGCGTGATCGTGTACATCTCGGCAAACGCGGGCGAGCCGGGCCCGAAGCGGGACGAGGAGAAGAAGAACCATTACTCGTACGGCTGGTCCTTCTACTTCGGCGGGCTGTCGTTCATCCTGGCCGAGGTGATCGGCGTGCTGGCCGTCAACATCTACATCGAGCGCAGCCGCGAGGCGCACTGCCAGTCTCGCTCGGACCTGCTCAAGGCCGGCGGGGGCGCGGGCGGCAGTGGCGGGAGCGGCCCCTCGGCCATCCTCCGTCTGCCCAGTTACCGCTTCCGCTACCGCCGCCGCTCCCGCTCTAGCTCCCGCTCCAGCGAGCCGTCGCCGTCGCGGGACGCGTCTCCCGGCGGCGCCGGGGGCCCGGGCTTCGCCTCCACGGACATCTCCATGTACACGCTCAGCCGCGACCCGTCCAAGGGCAGCGTGGCCGCGGGGCTGGCTAGCGCCGGTGCCGGCGGCGGGGCGTACGGCGGCGCGGCGGGGGGCGCGGGGGGGCGGCGGCGGCGGCGGCGGGGCGGGCTCAGAGCGGGACCGCGGGGGGGGCGTCCGGCTTCCTCACGCTGCACAACGCCTTCCCCAAGGAGGCGGGCGGCGGCGTCACGGTCACGGTCACCGGGCCGCCCGCCGCGCCTGCGCCCGCCGCGCCCGCGCCCGCCGCGCCAGCCCCCGGGACCCTGGCCAAGGAGGCCGCCGCCTCCAACGGCAACACGCTCAACAGGAAAACCACACCCGTGTAGGGGCGCGACGGGGGGCGCCGAGGGGGGCGTGTCCGGGGCGCGTGCGCGGGCGCGCGTGCAACGAGGCTGCCGGGGGTCGGGGGTGCCCCCCTCCTTCCCCGTGAGCGCGCTGGAGACTGCTTGGTGCTCCCCCGCGCCCCTCCCCACCTCTCGGGCGTGGGGGAGCGCCCGCCACCCTCCGAATCAGGGACCCTGAGGGAGGGGGAAGGGAAGGGAGGGGGCCGTTGGGAGGGAGCGTCGTGTTTTATTTATTTTTTGTGGGGGGGAGGGGGAGGGCTGTGGTGTTTTCTGCAGTTTTGAGATGTTTTCTTTTTAATGTTTTGCTGTGTGCATGTGGGGGCGGGGCACGGAGGAGGGACTCCCAGCCCAGCCCAACTCCTGGAGAGGGACCCATAACACACGACTATATAGTTATACCTGCAGACTATATATATGCTCTATGTAAAGAGACAGAAAGATAAAAGAGGGATGCAGAAAGGCAAAGTGACAAGGGACAGACGTGGGCATTCGTTCACTTCTTCACTCATCCTTCCACAAGGGCTTTAAAAGCACCTGCTATGTACCAGCATGGCGCTGGGGAGGGAACGTAAACAGTCCCAGAGACAGACTTGATCATTCATTACCAGCAATTTATTTGTGTACTTAAGTGCCAGGCATTGTGCCAAATGCTGAGCCTACAGAAGGAGGGAAGTCAGATAGGGTCCCCAACATCCTCATAGAGTTCACGTCTTGTGCATGAGACAGACATTAATCCAAGAAATGTGTACACCACAGTAAGCTACAGTTAGGGCAAAGGAGAAATGCAAAATGCTCCTTCAGGGAGGCTGAGCCCAGTTTAAAAGGAAGGGGTATTTTAGCTAACACAAAAGGATGACAAGAAGCCAGCCAGGTGAAGCTGGAGGGAAGTGTCTTAGCCAGAGAACAGCATATGCAAAGGCCCTGGGGCAGGAAGAGCTTCCGGAGAAGGCTAACATGTACTAGTGAGCCACACGCAGACGGAACAAGATGAGGCTGGAGACGAAGGCAGGGCCAGACTGCCCAGGGACTTGTAGGTCAGGTCAAGAGTTTAGATTTAATTTGAGGGCAGTGGGGAGACATGGAATGGCTTTAAACAGGATCATAACATGAATGGTACAGAAAGGGAGGAAGGAACTCAGAGATGAGAGTGAGAGGCAGAGACATGCTGAAATACAGCATCAGACACAGGCACTGGCCCTTCAAACTCTCACTCGTGGGAGGGAGCAGATAATCACACAAATACTGAAGCACAGGCATGGTGTCTGGTGTGCAGGAGAAACACTAGGACTTAGAGATTCATGTTTCACTCATCCATTAATTCAGCCATTCACTCCTTAACGTTTTTGAGCATCTGCTAATGTACCAGGCAGTGTATTAGTATCAGGATCCCCACTGGTGCTCTCAAGGAGTCAAAAACCGAACTCCAGGCAGGGCGATCGGTGCTGTAACAGGGACCAGGCTAGGCAGCTTGACCAGAGAAGAAGAGACAGAGTGACCAACTGACAAGAGTGGGTAGTACTTGGGGAAACTTCCTGGAGAACATTAGACCCAGGCTGGGTTTCAAAAAGATGAGTGATGAAGGGGGTGAGGAAAGCTTTCATGGGAAAAAAACAACTCGAGTCAGCTTGGGGGGGATATAAGAGCATGATGTATTGGGGACAGGGCTCATCCTTTGGGGAGATAAGACCAGAGAAGCAGCTAGAAGACAGAGTCTAAGGATGCTAGGGTTCCCGGCTGAGGAGTTTGGACTTTATTCTAAGGGTAGCAGGAGACACGGGAGAGCTTGGAGCAGGTGAAGGGCAGTATTAGACATGGGTGTCAGAAGGAGGCACCTGGGATGTGGGAAAGGGCTAGACAGGAGGCCAGTGCTGTGGGATAGATGAGAGAGGGTGGCAGCTGAGCTGGGAAAGGGCTCTGGGGGTAGAGGGATGGGGGGAATGGATTTGAAGGTCACTGAGGACACAGAAGGGACAGTGCTCAGTGGGTTTCCCTTCATTTGCTCAGCAAAGATTTCCCAAGGTCCCCCATCTGCCAGGTCTTGTGATGGACTAGAAGACTGGAGGGCAGGGGACCGGGGAGGGATTCCATGGGGGCAATGTTGGAAAGAGATGCTGGGAAACAGAGGGAAAGGAATACAACTAGCGGGACAGAGGGGAACTTAGTGTAGGGATGATAAACGGAGGGAAGAACAGGGAGAGACAAATTTGGTGGAAGACGGGTGCAGAGCTGGCTAGGGGGTAGTGGATTCTAGAGTCCAAAGGCCAAACATAAAGCAAGAAAGAGGTGGAGGATGGGCAGAAGGGAGAGCGGTGGGAAGGAGGGAAGGTGGGGGAGGAAGGAGGAGGGCAACAGAGACCAAAACTAGGTGAGTCACAGGGACAAAGGAAGAGGTCAAAGACACAGAAAGGTGATCCAGAAAGGAAAGGAAAACGGACAGGAGAGAGATTGCCACCAAGATACACAAGTCAAAACAGAGAAGTCGGGCTTCCCTGGTGGCGCAGTGGTTGAGAGTCCGCCTGCCGATGCAGGGGACACGGGTTCGTGCCCCGGTCCGGGAAGATCCCACATGCCGCGGAGCGGCTGGGCCCGTGAGCCATGGCCGCTGAGCCTGCGCGTCCGGAGCCAATGGGAGAGGCCACAACAGTGAGAGGCCCGCGTACTGCAAAAAAAAAAAAAAAAAAAAAGACCAGAGAAGTCTCAGAGATGCAAATATATATATACACACAGCAATGGCGGGGTAAAGCTGCAGAGAAAAACGCAGAGATGTGCCCAGAAAGAAATGTGGAGACTCAGAAGCACGCACAGGGTATAGGCTCCATCTATTTCTTTTGTTTGTTTTCTTTATTCAATAAAGTCATTGAGTCCCAACCTGTTCTAGACCAGTCTAGGTGCAAAGAATGTGGTATGGAACAGATAGCCAAGGTTTTGCTCTCCTGGAACTCACAGGAGAGACACAATAAACAATATATATAAGAATTTCAGTCGCAGAGAAGTGTTTTTCAAATGAAGCAGGAAAGAGAGTTCCCTGGTAGCCTGGTGGTTAGGATTCCGGGCTTTCCCTGCCATGGCCAGGTTCAATCCCTGGTGGGGGGAACTGAGATCCCGCAAGCCACACAGCACAGGTGGGGATGGGGTGGGGGGAAAGCAAAGCAGGATGTGGCGACTTTAGGGGAGGAGCCTGAGGAAGAACCCACTGCAGCAGTAACAGCTGTGGGTTGTGAGAAGTAAAGGCACGCGACAAGCGTTCTGGCCAAGCAGAGACGGCACAAAAGCCCTGAGGAGTCGCCGATTTTTGAGGAGGCCCCATGGCGAGCAGATGAACAAGGATGAGAAAATTGGGGTGAGGTCAGAAGCGTGCGCCGGGGGCCTGTCATGTGGGGGCTTGTAGCCCTGGGAAGAAATCGGAATTTTATTCTAGACCCCGTGGGATGGGCATAGGAATGACACGCTCCTGTTTTCATTTATAAAAACAAAACAAAATAACAGAACCGCGTCGCTGTGCTGAGAATAGATTTAGGAGTGAAGGTGGAAATAAGGAATTAAGAGGCTGTCGTCCTTGGCTAGTTGAGGCTGATGGTGGCCTGGACCAATGTGGAACTGGTGAGGGTGGAGAAAAATGGAAGAACAGGAAATGGGATTTTGGAGGCAAAGCCCATGGTGGTGGCGAACTGGATGTAACAGAGGAGGGAAAGAAAAACTGAGGAGAGAGAAGAGAAAAACTCTTTTAACTGTGTGAAGTTGGGTGGTGCTGCTATGTGTTGCCTGGAAAGGGGTCACTGGGGGAAGGGATCAGGTGGGAGGGGTCAAGCATCCTCCCCGGGCCATGACAAGTTAAGAGAGGCCTGTGAGAAATCCAAGCTGGGGTATCAGGTAGCCAGTTGGATATGTGAGACTGGAGCCTGGGGAAGAGGTCATGCTTGGAAATATAAGTTTTGGAAATGTCCGCATGTAGGAGACAGCGTATTTAAAGCCTCAGGACTGGATGAGGTGACCTAGGAGATGAGTGTGGATGACAGAGAAAGAACCCGGCCAGAGACTCGGGGCCATCTGCCTGGTGGGGGGCGGGGAGGAAGATGTAGTTGAGGGGGCAAGGAGTGACCATGAAGTAGGCAGAGACCAGTGCTGAGAACCAGAAAAGGATCCGTGGAGCAAAGATAACATGACCCTGACTCGAGGTCATCGCCGTGCAGTGGTAGGGACTGGAGTTTTGCCTGAGTGAGTGGAAGGCAGAGATTGTGGGAGGGGAGGTGGAGGGAAAGGGAGGCCAAGCCATCCTTTTGGTATGAAAGTGACAAGAACTTTGCCACCAAAGAAAGTTCATACCCTTTCTGTGAAAGGAGAGAAAGGAAGGCTGGCAGACAGGGAGATGCAAGAAAGAAAAATAACTCCCGAAAGGAGAGAGCCATTACAGCAGGCAAGATTGAGAAGGATGGGGAGGCCCAGGGCCGGGAGGGGAAGATGGATTCAGGAGGCAGGGCAGAGGCACTGCAGGAAGGTGTCTGATTTCTCAGAATGGAGACGCTGGTGGATGTCACCCAGCCCAACTCCCCTCTCACGTTGCTGCCAGCACCAGGCACTTTCTCCGATTCCCCTCTGAGTCCTGCCAAGGCCTGGGAATACCCGGTGAGGTGAAGGAAAGAACAGGTGTCACTCATTCATTTAAGAAACAGTTCCTGAGGCCTTCCAGGCACCAGGCCTTGCAATCTCAGAGCTGGGAACTCAGATCTGAAGACAGGCAGCGCGGCCAATCGGAGTGCAGAGGGAGGTGTGCTCTGAAGGGGGGCCCTTCCCTAGCTCGGGAGGCGATGTCTGTGTGTCACCATCTCCCTTCATCCGTCCATCCATTTGCTCATTCGTTCATTCACGCAGATCACCCACGCACACTTCCTAAGGCCTCCTGTGTAACATTTTGGGCTGGGTGGTGCTGAGGCCAATGAGATGGTTCTCTTGCACCCGAGCCCTGCCAGAGGCTTATGGGAGAGCCAGACACAGCTGTACACAATCGCAATCACATCCCAGGGCCACGCACGCTCCAACGGAAGCAGCACAGGGCGCCCGGTGGACAGAGAAGGTTAGGATGCACCGGGCCGGCTGGAGCCGTCAACCATGGGCAGAGGAGTTGGTGAAAGGTGGGTCCCCCCTGGGCCATCGCAGAGGGGCTGCGGGAGGGAGTGAAGGGGTAAAGATCAGGCCCTGCTGCCATTCCACACGGCTGTCCCCGTCCCTGTCCCTGGGGGAGCTGAAACTGCATGGAAGGTCCCCCGGGGGTGCCCCGTCTAATAAACTCGATGAAGAGGACTGTGGCTCTGGTTCCCACGCCCCTGACACCAGCTTCTCCCTGAGGCCTGCCCTTTCCACCTCCTGGGGAGCTGAGGACCCCAGCCCGGGACTCTCCCTTACCATCCTTCAAGATGCAAGGGATTTGGGCCCCAGTCTTCTCCTCCTCAGACTAGGGGTCCAGGCCCCCAGCCCCTCCTCCCTCAGACCCAGGGGTCCAGGCCCCCAGCCCCTCCCCCCTCAGACCCAGGGGTCCAGGCCCCCAGCCCCTCCCCCCTCAGACCCAGGGGTCCAGGCCTCCAGCCCCCTCCCTCCCGTCTCACGAGTTAAAGTCCCCAGTTTCTTCTCTTTCAGGGACCCAAGACCCCCGGCCCCAGCTTTCTCCTCCCTCATACCCAGGAGTCCTGCCTCCCCGCCCCTCTTCCCCTGGACCGAGCAGTTCGGGTTCCCAGCCAGGCCTGCTCCGGACCAAAACTCCTGGTTCCCCGCCCTGCCCCCTCTCCCGCCAGCTGGGAGATGGGACCCTCAGCTCCCGCCCTTGCCCCTTAAGGAAGTAAAAGTCCTTTCGGTCTCCAGCGGGTCAGGACCTGGCCCCCAGCCCCTCCTCCCAGGGCAGACGTCCTTCTCCCTGCCCCTCGTTCCCTTAAAATACCCGGGATCCCTATGGCAACAGGCGGCGGCAACAGGTGCGGGTGTTATTTACGGGTCGAGCCCGAAATAGCCGGCGATGGTGAAGGGGGTGGGCGGATGGGGGCGAGGCTGGGAGTGAGCGGAGCTGCCGGGCCGGCGGGCGGAGCGGGCAGTGGCGTGCAGAACCGACGGCTCGGAGGCATCGCGGAGCTGGGGTCGGCGCCGCGCAGAGGCAGGAGAGCGAGAGGGGTCCCTACCCAGGAGACGGGGGTGGGAGGCCTGAGGGAGGCGCCTGGCCTGGAGCTGAGCCTGGAGCCGTCCCGACCCGGCCGGCCCTGGGAGCCCGGGGGAGGGGAGCCGAGTGATCCCAAAGGGACACCGAGTCCCTTCCGGGTCCCAGTTGTCCTTTGAGCCGCGTGAGGGGACTTGGTCCCCATTTCCTGAGCCGCATTGCGGACCACAGCACCTTCGTCTGAGCCCCAGCAGGGACCCCCGGTCCCCCTCCTGAGCCTTGGGGGTGTCCCTCAGCCCCTTTCTCTCAGCCCCTAGGGCAGACCTTCTCTGGTCTTTTCTCTGAATGGCCAGGGAGACCCCCCTCCCCTCTTCCTGAATTCCAGCAGGTCCCCAGCCTCCTGTCTCTGAACCCCAGCCAGGACTCTGCTGGTCCCCCCTGTGAAAGTTGGGGGAATCCTACTGCCTCTCTGAGACTCCGAAGTAATTCTGACCTCCCCTTCTGAACTCCCTGCACCCCAATTTTTCCTCTTCTGAACCCCAGGGCGGACCCAACTTCTCCTTCACCAGACTCTGAGCCCCAAAGAAGCCAGGAAGCATCTCCTCTCAAACACAGAGAGGACCTCAGCTCCCCTTCCTGTGTATCCCAAACTTTGAGCCCTAGTGGGAAGCTCGGATTCCCTCCCCCCAAGGAAACACAGCTTCCCTTTGGTGATTCCCTCCAGTGGGGACCCCGGAGCAGCCCCTCAGAGCTTCAGCTGACACTCAGTTCTCCTGCTTCTGGAGCTCTCAGGCCCCCCTCCTGGGTGCCCAGGTTCTAGCCGTGAGGCTGGGGGAACCTAGCTTCATCTCTAGTCTCATCTTCTTTGCTGAGCTTCTGTGGGTACCCCAGGCTCTTCTCTGAACCTCAGAGGGTTCCCAGCAGAGGATCTAGGTCCCAGAAGTGACCTCGATTTCCTCATTTGAGGTTCCAGGGAGGATTCAGATCTTCCCATTTCACAGACCAGTGGAAACTGAGCCCCTCACCTGCTTCAAGACCCCAGGCGCTTCCCTCCCCACTCCCACCCCTCAGGAGCCCGCCTCAGCTCTGCCTCTTTCGCACCTGGGCCCTATCGCCCGCGACGAGGATGATGATGTGGTCCAACTTCTTCATGCACGAGGAGGACCGCCGGCGGCGAGCTCACGGGGCGCGCAAGGCCAGGATGACCCCTGAGCACGAGGGGAAGATTAAGCTGGCGCTGCTGCTGACCTCCGTGGGTGCCACGCTGGCAGTGCTGGCCGTGGGCACCGAGTTCTGGGTGGAACTCAACACCTACAGGGACAACGGCAGTGCCGTCTGTGATGCTGCCCACCTGGGGCTCTGGAAGATGTGCACCAAGCGACTGTGGCAGGCGGACGTGCCCGCCGGCAGAGACACCTGCGGCCCAGCGGAGCTGCCCGGAGGTGAGAGGCCGCCGCCCCCGCGCAGGGCTTGTATCCCGTGTCTGAGAAACCCGTGCCCGAGCCCCGAGGAGAGAGAGCTTGCACCCTCAGATGCGCCCCTACCCACATCAACCTGTGCTCCGGGGACAGCCTCTGCCCCAGGCACAAACTGTGCAGAGAGGGAGTCTGTACCCCCAAACTAGCCTGCACCCCCAGGCCAGTCTGTAGCTCTAGACCAGCCTCTGCCCCCAGAGCAGCCTGTTCCCCGAAACCCGTCTGTGCTCCTAGACCAGCCAGTGCCCTCAGACTGCCCTGTGACCTCCAGAGCTCCTATGCTCCCAGCACAGCGTGTGATCCCAGACATTTCTGTGTCCCCAGACCAGCCTGTACCCCCAGCAAGCGCATGTTCCTAGAGAAGCCTTGTGCCTCTGCACACAGCCTGTGCCCCCGGACCCAGCCGATGACTCCGTACGCAGCCGGTGCCCTCAGACAGCCTTTGTCTCCCAGAAACGCTCGCGCCCCTGAGACAGCCTGTACCCCCATCCTGTGGGCCCTGGGGAGAAAGACCACCTTGATGCCCACCCCAGAGTACGCTGTTCCCTCCTGCCGATTCCACCAAACAGCTCTCACCAAAGACCTCCCAACATCCCAGGGCAGACCTTGTGCTTCCTGGAAAATCGGCTTCCTTTCCTACCCATTTCACCTCAAATTCCCCAACTGGACACTCCAGCCCTTCTCATTTTCTCTTCCAGGCACCCCGACACCCGTCACTTCCCTACAGAGTGGCTGTTTCACCCCTACGCATGCCAGAGAGCTATCCCGTACCTCTCACTCTCCCAGACAGGCCACGCCATGCCCTAAACTTATACCAGAGAGACATCCTATATGCCTAGGGGACAGGAATGGGATCTCACTCCCTCTACTGACCCAGGGAAACTATCTGACACCCCTCAGAGCCCATTTAGGATGTCGCATGCTTGGTCACCCGTATGGCATCTGCAACACTCTTTCCTCTCCAAAGGATGTCCTATAATCTCAGTACCCCTCAAAGAAGATCTACCCCTCTGGGCTCCAGATGGGATTTCCCTCCTCCTTCGCTTTTCCAGATGTGATCTGTTACATCCCTAGGGTCCAAATAAGGATGTTGCAAGCCTTTGATAGCAAAGTGGGATGCAAAGCACCCTTGTTATCTGAGGTACCACCCAGTCAGCGTGCAGACCGGCTAATTCGCACCCCTCAGAGCCTCAAGCAGGAAGTTCCCCAATTTTTGACAAGTGGGATACTCTGGCAATAAAAAATATTAGATGCTAAGGTAGTGCCCGGCTCTGTTCTAAGTATTTCACTTGCATGAACTCATCAATCCTCATAGCAACCCTATGAGTAGTTATTATCGTCCCCAAAATGAGGAGCAAGAAATACAAATGTCACAGTCCATGCACCCAGGCTAGTCACATGGGGTTTGGACCCTGGTCATCTCTGTTCTTTCTTTTTCTTTTAAATTTTAAAAAATTTTTAAAAATGTATTGGAGTATAGTTGATTTACAATGTTGTGTTAGTTTCAGGTGTACAGCAAAGTGAACCAGTTATACATATACATATATCCACTTTTTTTAGATTCTTTTCCCATATAGGCCATTACAGAGTGTTGAGTAGAGTTCCCTGTGCTATACAGTAGGTTCTTATTATTTATTTGTCTTATATATAGTAGTGTGTATATCCCAGTTTATCCCTACCCCCCTATCCCCTGGTTACCATAAGTTATTTTTCTACATCTGTGACTCTACTTCTGTTTTGTAAATAAGTTCATTTGTACCCTTTTTTTAGATTCCACATATAAGCTATATCATATGATATTTGTCTTTCTGTGTTTGACTTATTTCACTCAGTATGGCAGTCTCTAGGTCCATCCATGTTGCTGCAAATGGCATTATTTTGTTCTTTTTTATGGCTGAGTAATATTCCACTGTATATATGTACCACATCTTCTTTATCCATTCCTCTGTTGACAGACATTTAGGTTGCTTTCGTGTCCTGACGATTGCAAACAGTGCTGCAACGAACATTGGGGTGCATGTATCTTTTTGAATTATGGTTTTCTCTGGATATATGCCCAGGAGTGGGATGACTGGGTCATATGGTAGTTCTATTTTTAGTTTTTTAAGGAACCTCCATACTGTTCTTCGTAGTGGCTGCACCAATTTACATTCCCACCAACAGTGTAGGAGGGTTCCTGGTCATCTCTGTTCTTAACAGCGACACTGTATTGCATCTCACTAGTCCATAAATATGTCCCAAAGGTTCTCACTGCACTGGGGGGGCTGTCCCGCCCCACCTGACTGCATAATATGGGGTCCCTCACGTCCCTTGATGTCTCCCTAATGGTCAGAAAGAGCTTCAGTCTCCTTAAAGGACCATCACCATCATCCCACAATCCTGACCCTTCAGAGGACATCTCCCAAATTGCAAGATTTCAGAAATATCCCACACATCCCATGGCCCATCAAAGGACATCCCAAAGGGGGGTGACCCATATCCTCCTCTTTTCCAAACGGGATATGCCATATCCTCTGGGATCAGAGACAAGATGCCCTAAATCATTAGTAGCCAAAATGGGATGCCAGACACCCCATACTCTCTCAGAAAGATGTATCACACCTTCTTATTCTCTAGTTGAGACTTCCCATTTCCCTTGTAGAGGAAGACCGCTTTCCCCCCACCGACTTGTGGCAGATAGCATCCTCGCCGTTTGTTCTGCTGCACAAAGCAGCCTTTACTTTTTGCTGCTGCGGGGTCAGGACTCACATTTCCCACTGCTCCTGCCAGGACACCTCATGCCCTTTTCTTCCCCCCACCGACTTGTGGCAGATAGCATCCTCGCCGTTTGTTCTGCTGCACAAAGCATCCTTTACTTTTTGCTGCTGCGGGGTCAGGACTCACATTTCCCACTGCTCCTGCCAGGACATCTCATGCCCTTTTCTTTCCTTGACAGTACCAGGTGGAGTGTCCCACACCACCTCACCTGTCTCTGGAGTTTATCCCTTATCCCTCAGCATCCCCCTTCAATTCGGAAAGTTCCTTTCCACTTCCCCAGACCACCTGACCTGTCTCCTATTTCTTAATACCCCTCTTATTCTCGACCTCTCTCCTCCCTTTCCCTCTGTTCTCTCCTCAGTTTCCCCATCTGTGGAATGAGAAAGTTGGAGTAGGTGAATTCTGTGGAAGTTCTGGTATTAAAATGCAATTTAGAAAGCACCTTTTTTTTTTTTTTTTTTTTTTTTTTAAGCGTGGGCTTTCTTGAACTTCAAGTACACAAATTTGGATGAATCATCCTTTTCAGTTTATGCCACAAAATCATTCCCAGCCTTTGCAAGATCCTTCATGTGCTTTATTTTACATTCTTATTCTTTTTTCCATTCTTTCCTAACTCATCTCTTTAATGCATTTGATATGCATCCATGGATATGTATTTTAACCTAGAAAAATAGTGTCTTTAATATATGTATGTATTTTAATTTCCATAAATGATATCGTGCTATAGATTTTTTCCTATTTTTGATGTTTTTCCTCAACACTGTTTCTCAGATCTTCCCGTGCTGCTTTCTGTCCGTCTAGTTTGTGGCTACTAGGTGCTGCAGAGACTTGCCCATCACATTTACTTGTCTATTCCAATAGCGATGGGCACCTAGGTTGATTCCAACTCCCTGTTTATTTATTTCTTTCTTTTTGGCTGTGCCGTGTGGCATTCGGGATCTTAGTTCCCGGACCAGGGATCGAGCCCAAGCCCACTGCAGTGGAAGCGCAGGGTCCTAACCACTGGACCCCCAGGGACGTCCCCCCGCCTCCCTATTATTATAAACAGTGTAGCAATGAACATGATGCAACCCATATATGTTCCTGCACGTGGTTTTTTTCTGAATGTATACCCAGAAGTGAAACTGTTGGGTTATAGGGATAAACATCTTTCACTTCATAAAGTATGTCAGAGTGCTTTCCAAAAAGGCTAGTACCCATTTACACCCCCAGCTGTTTCCTCTTATCCTTCCAATGCTTGATATTATCCTTTGAATATTTGCCCATCTAACTGATCTAAAGTGCCATGTCCTGCTGATGTAAGTTGCATTTCTGTGATCCCTGCTGAGGTGGAGCATCTCTTCATGTACTTGTGAGTAATCCACGCTTCCTCTTCTATGAATTGACTATTCATATCCTTTGCCCAGTTTTCAGTTGGGTTATCTCTCTTCTCTTGCTGATCTGGAAGAGTTCTTTGTGTAGTCTAGACATGAATCCTTTCTGAGATAAGAATCTCTTCTGAGGGCTTCCCTGGTGGTGCAGTGGTTGGGAGTACACCTGCCGATGCAGGGGACACAGGTTCGTGCCCCGGTCCGGGAAGATCCCACATGCCGCAGAGCGGCTGGGCCCGTGAGCCATGGCCGCTGAGCCTGCGCGTCCGGAGCCTGTGCTCCGCGACGGGAGAGGCCACAGCAGTGAGAGGCCCGCGCACCACAAAATAAAAAAAAAGAAAGAAATGGATAATCACTTTATTTAACAAAGCACCCCAAGATCCAGGCAGAAGACTCAGAAGAGATTCTTTTTTTTTTTTTTTTTTTTGGTACGCGGGCCTCTCACTGCTGTGGCCTCTCCCGTCGCGGAGCACAGGCTCCGGACGCGCAGGCTCAGCGGCCATGGGCCTAGCCGCTCCGTGGCCTGTGGGATCCTCCCGGACCGGGGCACGAACCCGTGTCCCCTGACTCGGCGGGCAGACTCTCAACCACTGCGCCACCAGGGAAGTCCATTCGTTTCTATTCTCACTGGACCCTACACAAACTCATAGGACAGAGCCAGGAAACAGACTATTAACTCACTTTATACAGGAAGAATTGGAAGCTCAGAGAGGTCAATAGCCCACTCAAGGCCGCAGACCTGGACCTCAGAGCTCTGGATTGGAATCCCAGCTCCTGTGATAGCAGGTGGTTTCACTTCTCTGAGCATGAGTTCTCTATCAGGGATGTCAATTTCATATTGCTAGCGTATTGTGGGCTCTGTTAAACGTCCAGCCCTGAGCTTACACTAGGGACCTCCATGTCATTACCTCTCTTTCTCTCTCCTGCTGCCACAGAAGCAAACTGCACTTATTTTAAATTCTTCACCACGGGAGAGGATGCTCACATCTTCCAGAGAACCACAAAGAAAGGTAAGAACTTTTTGCCCGGTGGAGGGGATATGCTGACCATGCTAAAGGATTCCTTTTCTTTCTTTTTCTTTTTTGTAAATTGAAGTATAGTTATTTCCAATATTGTGTTAGTTTCAGGTGTACAGCAAAGGGATTGTTATGTTTTTCAGATTATATTCCCTTATAGTTTATTAAAAGGTATTGATTATAATTCCCTGCGCTATACAGTAAGTCCTTGTTGCTTATCTATTTCATGTAGAGTAGTTTGTATCCATTAATCCCAGGGGGCTTCTTGATAGCATTGTACTCTTCTCTGCTTTGCCGCAGGATGAGCACAAGCTCCTAAATCCTGGCGAGGTCTCGTCTCTGGGGGAGAGGTGGTTCTCCAGAGCCCTGTGTCCAACATTCCCCCCTCAGCTCTGCTTTTGCCACATGCCGTGTTACTTTGGGCAAGTCCCAGCCCCTCTCTGTGGATAGTACATTAACATCTCACAAGTGTGCATCTCCCACATGCTAAACACAGCGCTGGGTGTTTCATTTATAAGAGTTCCAGTCCTTGCCATGACCCTGCAGGGCGGGGGCTCTATCTTAATCTTCCAGATGAGAAAACACAAGTCCATAAATGGTTTAATTTATTTCCCCAGGAAGTGGCAGAGGCAGAGGCAGGATTCGAACCCAAATAATTCCAAATGTAAAGTAGTGCTCTTCAATAAAATATTCCATGAGATTGGGAATGTTCTGTATCTGCACTGACCCGTATGGTAGCCACTGGCCACATGTGGCCGGTGCAACTAAGACACTGAGTTTTAAATTTTGTTCAATTTAAATCCATTTAAAATTAAAAGACCCTCCGTGGCTAGTGTCTACCATTCTGGACAATAAAACTTTTAAGGCTTTACCCTTTCTACTCTAACCACAGTCTCTCCATCACCCCAGTATGTCAGTATCCCCACCAGTAAAGGAATTGCGGTCAGTATGTCAATATCCCCACTAGTAAAAGAACTGTGGTATGTCATGAACCTTATCTGGTCTTTGTAAGGATTTAATGAAATGATGCAGCTAAAACATGCAGTATGGTGCCTGGCACATAGTAGGTCCTTCATAAGCAGTGGAGGACTCTTCATGGAGGACCTGCTTACCCTCTGTACTCCTTTCTTTCTTACCTTGGTGCTAAGCGAGCTTGGGCAAGTCGCTGTGCTCCCCTAGGAGAGCAAAATAATCACAGGGCACACATATGGAACAAGTGCTGTGTGCCCGCTGGTGCACTGGGGACATTACATATGTGATTTCTAATCCTCACAGCAGTCACGTAGAGATTTTGATCTTGATTTTCCGGAGGAGGAAACTGAAGTTCAGAGAGGTTCAGTGACTCTACCAGAATCTTCCAGCCAGGAAGTAGCTGGGGAGAGTTCTGACTTGGATCGTTCCGCTGTAATGTACCACCTTCTCTGTTGTCTCCCACACACCCCACTGCCTCAGTTTCCTCACCGGAAAACAAATGGTGACCAGATCGTAAGTAATACTTGGTAGTTCCCATCTCCTTCTAATCCTGGCTGTGTCCTTTCTTTGCTCTGTGACCTTAAGCAATTAACTGACCCTTTCTGAATCTTAGTTCTTCCTTCAACAGTATAAGTAAAACATTGAACTGGATGATCTTCTACTTGAAAATTCTTCTCTAGTCCTGGATCTTCTGGGTCCCTATATGGGAGTTCTCTCCACTCCCTACATCCTGTATTCTCTACTTCCCCTTCCCCTCCTCACAGAGGTAAATATGGCAGCTGCGGTGATAGCAGTGCTAGGCATGGCAGTCATGGCCCTGGGGTGCCTCTGTGTCATCATGGTGCTCAGCAAAGGGGCAGAGTTCCTGCTCCGGGTTGCAGCCATCTGCTTTGGCCTCTCAGGTGAGGGTTGAGAGCCTGCAGACTGAGAACATTGCATGCTGGGAGGTCGGGTCTCCAAACACCAATGCATGTTGGGAGGTCAGGTCTCCAAGCACTGTTGCATGCTGGGAAGTTGGGTTTCCAAGCACTGTTGCATGCTGGGAGGTCGAGGGAAGTCTCCAAGCCCCGTTGTAGGCTGGGAGGTTGGGTCTCCAAGCACTGTTGTGTGCTGGGAATTGGCGGAAGCTCAAAGGCTATAGAAGTCTCAAAGATGGGAGAGTTCTAGGTTCTGTTGTTGACTGGGAACTGGGGAGTCTCCAAAGACTTCTTTAGATTGGAATCTAGGGTCCCCAAGTGCTGTTGCCAGCTGGGACGTTGAGGGAGGTCCCCATGCACTGTTGTATGCTGTCAGGTTGAGGAAGGTCTCTTAAGTACCATTGCATGCTGGGAAGCACAAGACCTATAGTAGGCTCGAATATGAGGATGGTCCAAGCGCCGTTGTTGGCTGGGAATTGAAGGTTCTCCAAACACTCTTTTAGATTTGGACCTGGAGTCTGCAAGAACTGTCGCATTTTTGGAGTTGGGGGTCCAAAAGAATTCTGCATCTTGTGAAATGTAGCCCTCATTGGATCAAATGTTTTCTAAGGTGGATAGATAAGTCATAAACTATATAAGCTTCATTTATTTATCTTTCGTGTATCTACTGAGCACCTACTATGTTCCAGGCACTGAGCTAAGGGCTGGAGACATAAGATTAATAAGACAGACACTGTGTCTGCCCTCATAGAGCCTAGATTCTGACAGAGGTAGACAGTAACCAACAATTACACATATAATGATCCAACTATAATTGTGATGAGAGTTACGATAAAGCATATAAGGGGTACACACTGGGGTGGGGGGGCTTGTCGGAGAAACGTCCTGAGAAAGTGATATTTAAGCTGACCATCGAAGGAGGAACAGAAATTATCCAGTCAGACTGTGGAGTTGACGGTAGTGGTGGCCATGTTGGTGATGTTTGTTGTGGTGGTGGTAATGATGGTGATGCCCTTGATATGGCAATAGTGGTGATGGAATAGCATATATGTAGTCTGTGAAAGACTTGGCAAGTTTAAAAGAAGACGAATGAACAGAATGGAGATCAGAGCATAGGGCAGGGCAAAGTTTGCGCAAAGGTACATGGTAACCTTAGTCAACAGATGAGGTAGGGGCTCGGTGCAAGATGAGTCAAGGGAGGTCCCTGGTGGTCCAGTGGTCAGGACTCTGCGTTTTCACTGCAGAGGGCATGGGTTCAATGCAGAGGGCATGGGTTCAGTCCCCGGCTGGGGAACTAAGATCCTACAAGCTCCGCGCGGCCAAAACGAAAACAAAAATAAAGGAGACAGGGAGATATGAATGTTCAAGAGCACACTCGCATAGAAATTATTAGTAATCACATTCTTATTATTGTTTTGTGCCTTAGAGAGCTTCCTAAACGAAGGGGGAAATTCAGTCATTCCCTGTCTTTCATTTATTCATTAGAAAGGTGTCTGCCCTTAACGAGATTATCATCTGGTTAAGGACAGAGAAATGATACGAGTCATCCCACAATTACGAACTGCAGGAAGTGCTATGAAGGAAAAGTAGAGTTCTGTGAGGATGCGTAACGAGGGCACTTCATTTAAAGCAGAATTAGAGAAAGGCTCTCTGAGGAGATGACACTTAAAACATCCAAGTATGGGTAACCAAGCTAGAAAGAGCTCGGTGGATTTCGAGTCCTGAAAGAACGCCAGTGAGGCTGGAGCATGGACAGTAAGGAGGATACTGGTTTAAAAGACAAACCAAGAAATCAACAGGGAATCAACAGAGCTGGGTTGGAGTCCCAAATTCCAGCCCAGGGAGGAGATAGAAATTAGGCAAATAATAATGCTCCTATGAATTAATATATGTTAACAATTACCAATTGTGGTAAATGCTATAAATGAAAAGTAAAGAGTCTAACGAAAATGTATAACAGGGAGACCCAACAGAGACTTGACTGGTGGTGGTCAGGGAAGCCTTCTCAGAAGAAGTGTAATTCAAGTAAGGAATTCTGTAGAGAATGAGGATGTGTAAGGTGGGCTCAGGGAGGGGTAAGCAGACAGTTATTCCAAGCAGCACAAAGGTCTCCAGGCTTGAACAAATTTGGTGCATTTAAAGTCCTGAATGGGACTTCCCTGGCGCTCCAGTGGTTAGGCCGCCGCGCTTCCCCTGCAGGAGGCTCGGGTTCAGTCCCTGCTCCGGGTGACTAAGACCCCGCGTGCCACGCGGTACCGCCAAAAAGTAAAAATAAAACAAAAGTAAAGTCCTGAAAGAAGTCCTACGCCATACTGCTGTAGGATGGGAAGGGCAGCTTGAGAGGAGGCTGAAGAAACAGGCAGGGGCCAGGTCACGTGGGCCCTTCTAGGTCATTCGAGGGAAGTCAGGTTCGATCAGGGAGAAGGTAAAGTGATGTGCCTAAGAGAAGAGTCTTGGAGTAGGCCTGTCTGGGCTCAAACCCACATGGCTCTTTTCTAGGCTTCAATTTTCCCATCTGTGAAGTGGGGATAATAATAATAATACCCATTCATAAGGTCTAGTGGAAGAGGTGAGATGTGGGAGCATGTGGTTAGATTCTTGTTGCAAAGCTAGTGTGTCAAGGCCAGAGCTCCACAAACTACAGCCCATGGTCGAATCCTACCTGCCTCTTGTTTTGGAGTTAGTGACTTTTTTTTTTTTTTTTTTTTTTTGCGGTACACGGGCCCCTCACTGTTGTGGCCTCTCCCGTTGTGGAGCACAGGCTCCGGACGCGCAGGCTCAGCGGCCATGGCTCACGGGCCTAGCCGCTCCGCGGCATGTGGGATCCTCCCGGACCGGGGCACAAACCCGTGTCCCCTGCATCGGCAGGCAGACTCTCAACCACTGCGCCACCAGGGAAGCCCTGGAGTTAGTGACATTTTAAAACCATAAATCATATTGTGGTTCCTACCTAGATCGAAAGCCACGGATGAATTTCTACCACTAGAATAACGGGCCTCCGAGGTCTTATGTGGTCTGGCTCCTGATGTGGTCTGGCTCCTACGTGAGACTTCACCTCTTACCATTTGTTCTCCCTGTTCTGTCCATATCAACCTCTTTGCTGTTCTCAGACCCTCCAAGTTCATTCCCTCCTCAGAGCATTCTGCACTGCTGTCCCCTCAGCCTGGAATGCTCTTCCGCCAGCTCTTCCCATGTCTCATTTCTGCAGATCATTTCAGCCGCTGATCATATGTCACCGCCTCAGAAAGACCATTGTTGGCCACCTTGTCTAAAGTAGCCCCCTCCCCTGCTGTGTCCCTACCTTGCCTTATTTTTCTTCGTAGAATTGATCACTACCTGAAATTATGCATGTATGTATGCCTTTGTTTGCTAGGGCTGCCATAACAGAGTACCGCAGACAGGGTGCCTTACACACCGGAAATGTAGTTTCTCACAGTTCTGGAGGCTGGAAGTCTGAGATCAACATGTCAGCAGGTTCGGTTCCTTCTGAGGCCAATCTCCTGGGCATGTAGATGGCTGTCTTCTCCCAGTGTCCTCACGTGGTCCTTCCCCATGCTTGTCTGTGTCCTAATCTCCTCTTCTTATACGGGCACCGGACATACTGGATCAGGGCCCACCCTAGTGACCTCATTTTGAGTGAATTACCTCTTTAAAGACCCTAACTCCAAATATAGTCATATTCCAAGGCCCTGGGGATCAGGACCCCAATGTGTGAACTTTTGTGGGGATGCAGTTCAACCCACATCAATACATTTACCTGATTTTTGTCCATCTCCCCTTTTGGGGTGAATTTCCAGGAGGACAGCCCCTTCATTAGGTTTTTTTTTTTTCTGGGTCGTGCTATGTGGCATGCAGGATCTTAGTTCCCCGATCAGGGATCGAACCCGTGCCCCCTGCATTGGGAGCACGGAGTCTTAACCACTGGACCGCCAGGGAAGTCCCTAGTTTTGTTCTTGTATTTTATATATATTTTATAATGAGAGTTCAATTAAGATCTATTGACTGAATGAGAGAATGCATGAATTAGCAGTGGAATGAAGGGGACTGGATGGTGTCGCTCCCTCGTACAGATGCTTTTCCACCTCCAGTGCTCTGATGCTGACCTGCATGAGGTCAAGAAAGGATCACAGAGGGACCACTGAGCCATGTTACGCAGACTCCAGGCTGTATTCTCCAGGCCCCTGACTTAAAACCATGGGGGAGGGCTTCCCCGGTGGCACAGTGGTTAAGAATCCGCCTGCCAATGCAGGGGACACAGGTTCAATCCCTGGTCCGGGAAGATCCTACATGCCTCAGAGCAACTAAGCCTGCAAGCCACAACTACTGAGCCTGCAAGCCACAACTACTGAAGCCCGGGTGCCACAACTACCGAAGCCTGCACGCCTAGAGCCCGTGCTCCGCAACAAGAGAAGCCACCACAATGAGAAGCCCGCGCACTGTAACGAAGATAGCCCCGGCTCACCGCAACTAGGGAAAGCCCGCACGCAACAACGAAGACCCAACACAGCCAAAAATAAAAAATAAATAAAATGAAATAAATTAATTTTTTAAAAAAAGTTAAAAAACAAAACCATGGGGAAACTGGGAGTGTAGGGAGGAAGGAAGGTCAGAGATCAAAGTTGAAGTCAGACTCTGGGGTCTGAGAGGGGAGGCAGCCAGGATGCACGAGCCATGCATGACCATTGGAGGGTCCTACGTGATCTTACTCCGCCCACCTCTGTACTTCCGCTGCCCACCACCCCCCTCCCCTCCCCCATCCTCTTTGCTCCGCTGCACTGACTTTTCTTTTTTTCCCTCTAACACACTCTACTCCACCCTACCGCAAAGCCTTTGCACCAGCCATTCCTTCTGCCCAGAATAGCCATTGCTGTTTTGTGCATGGCTGGCTTCTTTTCGTCCATTTGGGTCTCAGCTCCAATGGCTTTTCTGATGACACCATGTAAAGCCCCAGCCCCACCCCTGGATGTCACGGCCCTTCCCACCACTCTGTTTTTATCTCCTTCCTAGCGTGCATCACTGTCTGAAATTATCCCGTCTTCTCACATGTTTACTTTGGCAGTTACAACCTGGTCGCCCGCAGGCCAGCGACGGCCCATAAATGTCCTTTGTTTGGCGGGCAGCGTCTACAGATTTCTCTGAGCCAATATTTAAGGGGTGGGTGAATTCCCGTAAAAATCATAATCGTTTAAAACAAATGCTAGCTGTTCTTGAAAACTCAGAAGATCTGGTCTACGAAGCCGCCGTTTCTGATGGGCTGCAGTTGGCTGGAGCCGGGTTTGGGCTGTGCTTTGTCATGGTCCCCACCGCGCCTGCCTGCTCACTTGTTTGGACTTTCTCATTGTCTACTGGAGACATTTGAGTTTTGCCAGCCTTGGTTTATTTGTGTACCATTTGTCTCCTCCAAGTAGAACATAGGTTCTGTCATGTTGGGGTTCTTTGGTCTGTCTTGTTCCTTTTTATTTCTTCAATCAAATTGCATTACATGACTGATTTTCTTTTCATTTTGTAATCCACCATCACTCTCTTTTCTTTTCAACTTTATTGGGATATGATTGACAAGTATAAATTGTGTGTGTGAGTATATATATGCACACACATATATGTATATATATATATGTATACACAATTGTATATAAGGTATATAAGCTTGCAGGATCTCAGTTCCCTGACCAGGGATTGAACCTGGGCCACGGCAGTGAAAGTGCTGAGTCCGAATCCCTAGACCGCTCGGGAAGTCCCCTACAACTTGATATATTTTGATACACATCATGAGGTGATCAACACAATCAGACAAGTTAACACATTCATCACCTCACATAGTAACTTGTTTTTTGCAGTGAGAACATTTAAGATCTACTCTCTTAGCAAATTATATGGACATGTTAGACCCTCGCGGTCTCCTAGGAGTTTCGACTCGCCCAGGAAACAACAAGAGTCGGAAGCCGATGCAAAACGCAAGAGGTTTATTGAAGGCCGGTGCACCGGGGTTCCTTGGTCCTCACGCAGGAGGTCGAAGAAGGAACCCTTTTGGGCGCGAATATGTCAGTTTTATAGGTTCCCACTGCCCCATATGTAAATTATAGATTTGGTTGTGTTCTCCTGCTGATTGGTCCCGGCTTAGGCTCGGACCAGAGAGGGAACTTGTCCCTAGCTGCCTGATTGGTCTTTGACAGACACCTTTTTTACATTTTGTTATCTCCCTCCTTCTCCCCAGCTGCCTGATTGGTCTTTGACAGACACCTTTTTTACATTTTGTTATCTCCCTCCTTCTCGGAAGGGGGCCGGACATCCTGGAAATTCACCCATTGTCTAAGAAGCCCCTATTGTCTGGAGAGTTCTTAATCATTAGCTGGAACAATGTCCCTCGAGCCCCACAGACACAGTATTATTAACTATCGTCACCATGCGGTACGTTAGACCTCCAGAATTCATTCCTCTTCAGGCTGGAAGTTTGTGCCCTTTGACCAGCATCTCCCCATTTTCCCCCTCCGCTCAGTCCCCGGCAGCCACCGTTCTGCTCTCTGCTTCTATGGTTTCAACTCAGATTCCATCATCACTCTTTACTCAAGTCTGAATGGAGTCTTAATTTGACTTTTGCGATTCTTGATTCCTTGGTTTGCTTTGTTCTTTTCTTAAGTGGTGAAAGACACATTAACATAAAACTTACCATTTGAACCATTTTTAAGTGTCCACGTCTGTGGCGTTAAGTCCATTCACGCAGTTGTGCAGCCGTCACCACCATCCATCGCCAGAACTTTTGCATCTTCACCAATTAAAACTCCGCCCCCATGAAACACCAACTCCCCATTGCTCTTCCCCACCCCCGCACCCACCTTCTACTTTCTGTCTCTATGAATTTGTGTCTTGTTCTTTCTTTCTCTCCAGCGTCTAAAATTGTGCCTGCTATAGGGTAGGTGCTTAATAAGCAGTTGTTGAGGAGGTGCTAGTGAAACTGCAGAAATGCATCTCGGGGGTCTCCGAGGAGCTCCGGTTCTTTATGTCTCAGCACAGAAAGAATTCAGCGAGAGGCCAAGTGATAGATAAGAAGTGATTTATTAGAATAAGATGCTCGTGCGCCTTACAAGCGGGTGAGCTAGAGGGCGCCACGCCGAGAACTTAGTGGGCTACAGTTTTATAATCAAAGGAGAGTGGGGAGGGGGAGAAGACCACCTCCTTCCTCATTCTTGAGTAGACGTCAAGCTTCCATCCTCAGCTCCGCCTCCAAGTCAGGCGGGAGGGTTTTCTTGTCCCTACGTGGTCAAACTGGGACTGTCATGGCCCAATGGAAATGAGCAAAAAGGTGGTAACATATACTAGAGTATGATGAATCATCTCAGCTTTCAGCATAATGTCAACTTTTCCTTATATTTTTGTTTCTGATGTGTGCAGAGGAGTGTTACCTTAGGAATCAAGCCTCTCTGGGCAGGATGTGGGTCTTATTTCACCATTGTTTCATTGTCTGGGGGCATGTCTCAGGCTTCTGTTGCATGGTTGTGTTGCTAAGCGAGCCTGCTTGGTTTTGTGGTTAAGCGAACCTGCTTTCTTGAGCGATCATTAACTTACAGGGGTCTCCCATGCTTTTTTTTCTTTACTTACAGTCCCCTAGTGGGATTAACTATGTAATCACCTACTTTGTCCCTTTACTCTGTTCCTATCACTAGGGGGTCCCCCAGGTTTCTTGTCTGAGTAAGCATGTGATGGGGTATACTGGGGGAGAGGCTCAGACCTCCTTTGGGGACCCCAGGGGCCTGAGGGCCACATCTGTTCTCCTCTCCCCACAGGCCTGCTGCTTCTGGTCAGCCTGGAGGTGTTCCGCCATTCCGTGCAAGCCTTGCTGCAGAGAGTTAGCCCTGAGCCTCCCCCGTCCCCGGCCCTGACCTATGAATACTCCTGGTCTCTGGGCTGTGGCGTGGGGGCCGGCTTGGTCCTGATCCTGGGGAGTGGCTTCTTTTTCCTGCTCACCCTGCCTCCCTGGCCCTGGGGCTCCATCTGTCCCAAGTGGGGGCACAGGGCCACCTAGGGTCACCATTGTGCTTTCTCTAAGCAACTCCCAAACCCTTCGCCTTTCTCCATTGTGCCCCTCAGAATCTTTTGTCCCATGTCCTAGAGAAACTGTGTTCTCCCTGCTCTAGGGGCCCATGCTGTTTGCACAGAACTGCCCCTCACGCCCTCATCTTTTTTTCTCTGTAAATATGTTTTTCTCGGGGGCTGAATTTGGGTTGCTTAGGAGTGGGATGGGGAGAGGATTTTTGCAAACGAGGATCCCCAGGGAAGGCTGGTGGGGACCTGATGGGGTAACTAGGGAGTGGGGGGAGGTGAGGTCAGGGGGTCTTGGGAGGGAGTTGGATCTATTTGTTCCACAGATTTGGATGTATTTGCTTGTGGGAGAGACTTCCTCCAGGGAAACAGGGGAATGGGGGAGGAGAGAATCTCTGGGTCTGACCTCACTGTGGCCTGATTTGGGATTAAAGGTTTGGAAATTTAACAACTTTGATTTGGAGTCCGTTGTGATGTGATTTGTGCACTCCAGGGTAGAGAAAAGGGGTCACTTGTGCTCTCCAGAAACCCACCACATGCTACTTGTCAGCCCCAAAGTCACATGTCAATGAACCCATAGAGAGTGACAGGAAACTCAACAGTTTGGAACACAAACACTGTTATGGGTTGAAGGGGTCCCTCCTGAAAGTATTTGTTGGGGTCCTAACCACTAGGACCTCATAATTGACTTCATTTGCAGGTAGGGTCTTTGCAGATGTGACCAAGTGAGAATGAGATCGTTAGGGTGGGCCCTAACCCAATAGGACTGGTGTACTTATATGGAGAGATTAGGACACTGATACATGCAGAGGGAAGATGAGACGAAGAGACACAGGGAGAAGATGACCGTCTGCAAGCCAAGGAGCGGTGCCTAGAACAGATTCTCCCTTGCAGCCCCCAGAAGGAACCAGCCCTGCAGACACCGTGATCTTGGACTTCCAGCCTCCAGAACCGTGAGACTGTGCATTTCTGTTGTTTAAGTCCCCCAGTCTGTGGTACTCTGTTAGGGCAGCCCTAGCAAGCTGATACACCTGTTAGTCCCTGCAAGTGGGGTTCTGCTGCAACAAGTACCTAAAAATGTAGAAGTGGCTTTGGAATTAGGGAATGGGTAGAAGCTGGAGGTGTTTTGAGGTGCCTGCTAGAAACAGCCATGATCGCCTTGACAACACTGTCGGTAGCAATATGGAAGTGAAAGGAAATTCCTAGGAGGGCTCAGGACTTGCTGTAGAGGAAGTGTACATCACCTTAGAGAATATACGTATCATTATGAACGGAATATTGGTAGAAGCTGTTCAACCACAACTAACAGTGACCAGGCCATGCAGACCTGGTGTCAAGGGTTGAAATCCTTCAGCCCAAGGGCCCAGCCTCCTCTCATGAAGACCAGTGTATGTATTTCACCTCAAAAATCACAACTCGAATGAATTCTTCAATTAGATAGGAATTGCTGAAGCTGATCTCAAAGGCCAAAGTCTCTTAAACGTTGAAAAATGTTTAAAATATGGAATATGTGCCATCTTATGAATGCAAATATTGTGAGTGTGATTCTCTTAAATGCTTCTATATTTAATTATAAATTACATGTGTAATTATATATATTATATATTACATAAAATATATATAATTTTAAATATTTACTATAAATTCAATTAATATATGTAATATTATAAAATTAATATATTTAATAAAATAGAAGATTTATATTATAATATAAAATTCTAACAGAATATACTATATTTTAATATAAAATTCTATATAATATTATACCAATAATACATGATTACATCATAATAAACAGATTATTATATTGATATTATAGATATTATAATATATTAATATATTCACATAAATGTTTATTTAATTATAAATACAACTATATGTTATATAATCATATATAATTATAACATATATTATAATCTTTATATAAAATATATTAATATTCTGTCATCTTATATAAATAGAGCATTCCTAGGATTACACCGATGTAATATAATATTTATACAATACAACATATTCTATAAATAATATAATACATATATATGTAACATTTATATAACTTATTATATAAATATAATGTATATGTAACATGATATTTATACAATATAACCTGTTATGTAAATATAATACTTATATATATAAAACATGATATTTATACAACATATTATACTGCATAAGTCTTGTAACATTTATAATGTAATTATGACTTGTCCCAGGGTTGGAAGCAGCTTCCTCCACGAGGAGATCATTTGTCATCCAAGAGGTGTGGGGTAACCCCTTCTTGATTAGCTGAGGCTGCACCCCATCTCAGATCCAGTGGGGCACTCTGGCAGGACATTCTCTTTATTTCTCTTTTTTTTTTTTGCGGCACGCGGGCCTCTCACTGCTGTGGCCTCTCCCGTTGCGGAGCACAAGCTCCAGACGCGCAGGCTCAGCGGCCATGGCTCAAGGGCCCAGCCGCTCCGCGGCATATGGGATCCTCCCGGACCGGGGCACGAACCCGTGTCCCCTGCATCGGCAGGCGGACTCTCAACCACTGCGCCACCAGGGAAGCCCCTCTTTATTTCTTTATGCACTGAACTCGGCATCATGCTAAGGATACTGAGCGGAGACCTGGGGGTGTGCATTCGCTTCTGATTCAAGGGGCAGAAGAAGTGTCCGGCTGTGGTTGAGAATGTGGGCTCTGGACCCGGACTGTCTGGTATGAAACCCTGGCCCCCTTTTCATAGCTTGAACAACTTGCTTACCCTCTCTGTTTCCTCATGCTCATTGCAGCGCTTACCTCCTAGAGTCCCTGTGTGGGAGGAGTGAACGCTGCAATAATCTCTGCAAAGCCCCTGGAAGACTGTCTGGCACAGGTCATAACTCCATCAGTCTTGCTGTCACTATTATTTATTGAGTGGCACTTTGGGCTGGGCATACAGTAGAGTGCATAGGGACCCCTGCTTGGCTGAAAGTCTGGTGATGGAAACAGATATTAATCACATAATCACACTAATGAAAGTATAATTATAAAGTGAGATAAGTGCTAGGAAAAGGGATCAGGAACAATTTTTCTTTACTACTTGACTTTGTGCCCAGTGGACTCAGGGAAGCCCCAAGATGTCTGCCTTGGGGATGGGATCCTCTGGTCTTGGGGGAATGACCCTTGGTCCAGTGGGGTCTTCACTCTGCACCCTCTTTCCCACTTGGGATATTTGTGGATTTTCCAAAAGTGGGAGAAGGAAATAGAGACCCCTCTGAGACAAATAACTGGAATCACATTATACTATGGGATAATTTATCAATTTGCATCTGGTCACCTCATTTTTTTTTTTTTTTTGCAGTACGCGGGCCTCTCACTGTTGTGGCCTCTCCCGCTGCGGAGCACAGGCTCCGGACGCACAGGCTCAGCGGCCATGGCTCACGGGCCAGACGCTCCGCAGTATGTGGGATCCTCCCGGACCGGGGCACGAACCCGCATCCCCTGCATCGGCAGGCGGACTCCCAACCACTGCGCCACCAGGGAAGCCCCCACCTCATATTTTTTGAAGTGAAGGAAAATAGAAGCTTCTTGAAATCTACCACCTTTTCTGTCCTTGTTGTTTACATTTACTTTTTTGAACATAATCTCAGACTTACAGAGAAGTTGCAAGAACCAGAATAGCGTATAGAAGACCCACGTACTCTATTCAGATTCACCTATTGCTGACATTTCACCCTACACCCAAATGTGTAGGTTTTTTTATTCAGCAAACATTTATTTTTAAATGTGAAGTGCACCATGTATGTGCTGACTTATGGATACAACTGTAAACAGTCTGAGTTTGATTCTCTTAAATGCAGACTCAACATCCCATTGAAAGAATTAAAATTAAAAGCACCCACTAATCTCAGAACCCAGGCTAAGGAAAAGAACTAGTATCTTGGAAACTGCTGGTACTTCCTTACTAATATCCCCACCTTAAGGCACAACTCTCACAGATAAACAGCCACACCCTGCATTTTGACTAAATCGTTCCTTATCTCTTCTTCATAGTTTTACAAACTAAAATTCTGTTCTTTTTAAAAAAAGCTTGTTTCATTTTGCTTAGGTTTGAACTTCATGTAAACGGAATCCTTTTGTATGTACTTTTCTGTGTAATTGTCTTTTTTTGTTTTTTTTTTAAAGCCCAAAGAAAAGGATTCAAACTCGTGGCCAGAAGGCTGGATAAGACCTACAGGCGCATTTTCTTGAGCCTTCAGGATGTTTACTAAGGTATTTATTTACAACCAAGTGGGGATCTAAAATACTTGGGGAAAAGATTCCAGAGTTCCAAAAAGCAAAACTTGAGTTCGCCAAGGCAGGCGACTATTTACATAACATTTACATTGTATTTACAACTATTTGCATAGCATTCACATTGTGTCAGGTAATATAAGTAATCTAGGGATTATTTAAAGTATAGGAGAGGATACGTGTAGGTTATGTGCAAATACTATGCCATTTAAATAAGGGACTTGAGCGTCCTTGAATTTTGGTACCGGCAGCAGGTCCTGGAACGAATTTCTCTCAGATATTGAGGGACAAGTGTATTTAACTGAGGTAAAATTCACATAACGTACAATTAACTATCAACCATTTTTTTTAAAGTCATACATTAAAAAAAATTTTTTTTTACTTTATTTTTATTTTTGGCTGTGTCGGGTCTTAGTTGTGGCACGTGGGATCTTTCCTTGTGGCACGTGGGCTTCTCTCTAGTTGTGGCGTGCAGGTTTTCTCTCTCAAGTTGTGGCCGGCAGGCTCCAGAGAGCGTAGGCTCTGTAGTTTGTGACAGGCGGGCACTCTAGTTGAGGCATGTGGGCTCAGTAGTTGTGGTATGCAGGCTTAGTTGCCCCGTGGCATGTGGGATCTTAGTTCCCCGCCCAGGGATCGAACCCACATCCCCTGCATTGGAAGGTGGATTCTTTACCACTGGACCACCGGGGAAGTCCCAACCATCAACCATTTTTAAGTGAACAATTCAGTGGCATT